CTTTCTTTTTCTTTTTTTTCTTATGATCAGAATCTGAGGGTGTTTCTAGTAAAATAAGAGAGAGCAATTAAAGAAGGCATTTGCTCTAGAACAGGGCTGTCAAACTCCTGGCCCACGGCCCAGATGTGTCATGCACTGGCCATGCCCATACTTGGTTTAGCAAAGGGGAAAAATGTCCCGATATGTCACCATGACACCGCAGTGATGACTTGAGTTTGACATCCCTGCTCTAGAAGGAAGGAATGATTTAATTTACGCTATCGGACTAAAAAATTCTATATCAGCAAGATGTGTGGTGGGGGACATTATTATTATATGTCCTAAGAAATAGACTTCTCACCTGGAGGGACAGGGTCTTGGGTTCGGCTCTGCTTATGTTTATGCTTGTTTTTTTTCTTAGGTGGCTGGATGTGCATTAAGCGACATTGTTCTGGCAACTGGTGTAACAGAAACAGAAAGGCACGTCAATACATGAACTTCCCAAGTACCATTGAAGAAAACATATATAATAGACTTACAAGTCTATATTTTTTGCAAGCCAATCAAATAATATTCCCCATCAAAATTTCCATTAGAAAAATTTCTACTACAGGTAGTACAGAACAGTCCTCCCTTCACAATGGTAATTGGGACCAGAATTTCCATTGCTAAGTGATGTGTTTGTAAAATATGACAACAGTTCTGGCGCTTCTGATTGCTGTTATGAAGTGCAACATCACATGGTAGCCATTTGTGACCTCCTGCCAGCTTCTCCATTGACTTTGCTTGTTGGAAGCTGGCAGTGAAGGTTGCAAATGGCAATCACATACTGTGGGACATTGTGATGTCATAATTGTGAGCTGGGGGTCATGACTGGCCGGACACTATAAACATACGTTTGAGGACCAGTTATAAGTAGCATTCATTCAACACCATTGTAAATTTGACCTGTGGTTGAAGTAGTGGTCATTAAGCAAGGACCACTTGTACATTCACTTAGCTTAGTGTTTGTATCTATTGCAAATTAAGGATTTCCGTGCTAAAGCAAAATTATCCCTAATCTAGATTTTCATTACTTCCAGCTTCCTACTTTACAAATGCAGCACTTGCCTTCTGGATTCAGAATGAGAACCAGCACAATATAGCAGTCCAATATTGAACCAGAATGAGGAAGACTCTGACTACACCCTCAGCTAGATAAATTTATTTGGGTGACCTTAGACTAATCACTTTTCCTTGGCCCAAACTTCTCAGATTGTTCTGAGGATAGAGAAAATCAGGATATAAATCTAATGAATAAAATACATGAAATGCAGACACAGGGTCCTCTTATGATCAGATCTGTCATAAACTCTTAGGAATACCTACCACAGAGAATTACAATTTTTGACCAATCCAATAGCTATGACAAATATTTCAACAAAGAAAGATTTGCTGGTTCTTTGAGATGACAATTTTAACAAGGATTTATCATTTTCTATTGTGAACCACAACTAGACATGTTGTGCTAACATAGCCATTGTGGTTTTATTGTACTGTGCAAACTTGATGGCACAGTGTATCATATGCTGAGGCCCTCTTTGAGGGAGATAGAGTTTAGAAATATGAAATATAAATATGTACAGATTCTATAAATATAAATTTACCCTGGAATTCAGCTAGAAATTTTCACTTGATACCAACTTTGCAGCAGATGAAAGAAAGGTTCAAGAATTCCTTTTTAAAGGATAATCTCTTTTATCCTTTGCCTGGAACTTCTTCCTATCTTCAACCTTACTTAAAAGTCTATTCTGATAGAGAAGTTATAACCTGTTATTTTTTGGGAGGGTGGGAGGTGGTTGCCTTTAAGTCAGTCTTTATTCCTGGCAAGTACATAGATATTCTATACATATTTTCTGGCAACATTTTCAGAAGTTGATCATTGTTGCCTTTTTCCTAGGACTGACTGATCCCAGCTTGCTTCCCCACCTAGGGTAGGAGAACTCAGGCTTCCGCATTCCTAGTCAGTACCATAATCAACAGTCACATGCTATATACCATATTCTAAAAGATTCCAGTCCACTTGATTCTGGGGGCTGGCAACATATCTATACTATAGCATCCACACTGAATTCCTTTTTTAGAATGTACAACATGGTCAATATCTCATAAAGTAGACAAAGTGTTCATGATTTCTGCACTGTAGTCTCTTTCTGTCATTTACATTACTTATTTATTTGCATCTAGATCGTAATATAATTCCACGAAGATGTCCACTGCCATATGGCTGATAATCAATATGCCTAGAGGTGAATTTATATTCAGGTTCTAAACTGATAATTGTCAGACCTTAACCTACAAACCTGTAATATTCTTAGTTACTAGTTTGGCAAGTTTCTTTTTCATTTGAGGCATTATTGTGTGTTTTGTTTATAATAGTTAAAAAACTTCTTTAGTACAACATATGTCTTTCATCCAAACCATAACTCACCGGGCCAGCATGGAGACGAAACCCTGTTAGCATGGTACCAGTGATAGGGTTGAATGAGCTACCGCAAATGGGAGGTTTTTCAATTAAAGAACGCAAGCTGCTGTTATCATGTGAGCCTGGCAAATCGATCATTCCTGGCAGGTCAGGCAGAAAGTTGCTGAGTTTCTCTTTCACCTTTTTGCCACAGAATTTATTGTAGGCATGCTCTAAGTTGTAGTGGGTGATCAAATTTGTGCTTCCTGTTAGTTCTGTGGTACCTGGCAAGAAATGAACAACATTGTAAAGTAACAATGTTACTGATTATTTTGCCTAAATTAATAGCACAGATAATTTTTTTTAAGAAACCCCTAAAGTTTGGTAGAAGCTGATTTTGAAACCAGGTCCTTTCTGTAAATAACAATGACAATGATACAAATCCTATTTTATATGACCTGAAATACTAGCAGTGGGAATGGAATTATTTAAAATATTTACAGTCTGGCCTTATACATAAGATCGTTTGATGCATTATAATCAATAAAAAGAAAACATTAAAGCTAAAAATAAACCCAAGTAAAACATATATCCCCTCCTCATTTAGTGACCTTAATCTGGTTTCTTAAATTGGAAGCAAAATGTTTATTAAGTGAGTATGTGACTGAAAGAGGGAGAGAGATGCTGTGAAGATCTCTAGTGGCTAGAATCTCACTTAAAGCTCTCCTGTGCAGCAATGCCAATTGTAATCTCACTCTGGAATGCATTGTTGTCAGGCACACAAAATTTGGTTGGAATTTTTTTTAAAAAAAATTGCCATCATATTTGCAAAAGGTCGCTTAGGTAGCCACTTAAATAAATAAGTGGCTGTATAAATAAGTGGCAATGACAGAAACACACTATAGAAAAAAATGGTCTAGTCCAGTTAGCAATTATGACCCAAATACAGGAGTTAAAAATGGGTGGATGATGTCCAGGGAATTTCTAAAGCCAAGTCCATTATAAAGAAGTCTCCCCTCAGCCCTGGGACAATGAACCTGTTTCTCACTGTACAACTTTTCCACTTACGACCATAATTGAGCCCAATATTTCAAATCTCACTGGCTCAAGGTTGACTGAGCCTTCCATCCTTCCGAGGTGGGTAAAATGAGGACCCAGATTGTTGGGGGCAATATGCTATTTAGTATATAAATATAAGTATAAGTATGGTGTAAACCGCCCAGAGTCCTTGGAGAGTGGGCGGCATAGAAATATGACTAATAAATAAATAAATATTTATGCTGCTGAGACACTTGTTAAATGAATTTTGCCCCATTTTACGACTTTCCTTGCCACAGTTGTTAAGTGAATCACTGCAGTTGTTAAGTTAGTAACAGAGTTGTGAATCTGGCTTCCCCCTTGACTTTGCTTGTCAGAAGCTTGCAAAAGGGGATCATGTGACCCCCGGGACACTGCAACCATCATAAATATGAGCCAGTGGCCAAGTTTTGATGACATGACCATGGGGATGCTGCAGCGGTCGTAAGTGTGGAAAAGAGTCATAAGTCACTTTTTTCAGTGCCGTTGTAACTTTGAACGGTCACTAAATGAACTGTTGCAAGTTGAGGACTACCTGTAGCCCTGCTTACATAAGTGGATGCATCTGGAGAAAATGACTAACTTTGTAACCCGAGGCATATTTATTTTCAGGGATAGAAATTTCATGAACACACGTGGCTACTACTAGGCGTATCACTTAAGGTGGATTGTACAGCTTTTCAGGGGAGGGCAGATTCTTGAAGGGCCACGCCGAGCCTTGTAGCCCCATGAGTCACAAAGAAGCAACAGTTTGCGGGAGGAACCAAGCGGCCACACGCTCCTTTACTCTCGCACAAATGACACAAAACTCTCCCACCACGGTTCCCACAAGAAACTTCGATGGCTTTTAACTCGAGGACGCCAAAGATATGCCTACAACGCCATCCCGGCTCGTTCAGTGGCCCGAGCAACTGCCAGTCGCGCGAGTTACCACCCACTTGGCGCTTCAAGCCTCCACACCGAGTTCCCGCAAAGGCGGAGCAGCTGCTCATCAGCCGCAGCGAGCCATCCCATTGGCACATTCCCGCGTGACGTATAAAATCCGTCAAGCAGCACTGACTAGAAAAGCAACGCCCGCCTCTAGGCGGCGGTTGGTTACGGAGCTCCTACAAGCCCGCCCCTACAAGCCACTACCTGGTAACTCGCGCATTAGGTAAAAAGGACCGCTGGCTGCCGCCGCTTTGCGTGCTGTCTCTTCTCCGACCGGAGTCACCGTTGGTACAGGAGGCTGTCCAGTACCGGGTCCTCCTGGTTTTCCTGGGCCAAAGCCTAGCGCGGCAGCTGTTGTAGACGGAGGAGGTTCTGTCCCTCCGAAGAGAGCAGAAAAATTCTCCATCATCCCGGCGTGCTTTGCGCAGTCTCCTCCTATTGGCTTCGCATCCGACGCTTTTCTACGTTTGCTCTGGCGTCACTGGAAGGCGGAGACCCATCCTCTGCGTAGGATTGGCTAGCTTACCTGGAACTCGACTCTTATGAGACGATAGGTTGCTTAGCAGAACGACACGCTTTTAAAGAGCGGAATTACGCCCATGCTATACGTCAGAGAGCGAAAGCCGTCCCTCGGTTGCCGTTCTGAAGAGTTTCAGCGCGATACCCTCCCAGCCAATAAGGACACAGCTTTGTCCAACGGAGCTCCGCCTTTCCTTTGATTGACGTTGTCACCCGCCGCTCAATCAAAAGCAAAAGAAGGGGACTCGGGGTGGGCGGGAGGCCGTCTTGAGACGGATCTCGGTCGGCGTGAGGTGAAGATGGCGGTCTTGGCCCCTTTGTTAGCCCTCTTCTATTCGGTGCCTGGGCTCTGCCGCTGGCTGGCCCAGCCTTACTACCCGCTCTCCCTCCTACTTTCGGCAGCCTTCTTGTTGGTGCGGAAGGTGCCACCGCTATGCCACGGACTGCCCAGCCAGCGGGAGGACGGGAACTCCTGCGACTTCGACTGGGTAAGATCGGCCTGCGGGAGACCCACGGCCCTTCTCCTTGTGGCTTGCATCGCTTCTCGGGGCTGCTATGCTTCTTGGGCATGTGCCTGCGGGCCTTTTCAAGCTTCGGGCTCCTCGGGGCTCCCCCGGCCCTCCAAAAAACACCCTTCTTAGCGACACAAGCGGAATCCGAGCACCTGCTGTTTCCTGTCTTGGCCGCGTTTTTTTCCTACTTTGATTGTATCCCGGGAGCCTGCCTATGGTCGTGAGCAGAGATGGGTTGCAGCAGGTTCTGAAGAACCGGTAGTGGAAATTTTGAGTAGTCCTGAGAACCGGTATTAAAAATTCTGATTGATCCCGCCCCCAACTATTCTCTGCCTCCCAAATCCCAGCTGATTGGGAGGAAATGGGGATTTCCCAGTAACCTTCCCCTAGATTGGGGACGGAATGGTGATTTCCCCTGCCACGCCCACCAAGCCACGCCCACCAAGTCATGCCACGCCCACCAAGCGACACCCACAGAACCGGTAGTAAAAAAAAATTGAAACCCACCACTGGTTGTGAGGCCTTAAATGTATTTCTTATGAGAAGAATGTTCCAACATCTTTAAAGGTCATACAGTCATTAAAGCATGAGCGCAGAAATAATGCTCGGCCTCTGAGAAGCTCCTCTGTAGCAATGGGACAGTTTTCGCTCCTCACCTCCAGTGATGTGATCCTTTAAGCTTAGTGGTTAATTTAGTGGTGGAGATTTTCACCTGTTTTAAATTTATAGCACCTTTGTTTAGATTTTGGGATGTGGGTATGGTCTTCGCTTGTTGCACACCACAGTAAGCGGAGACTTGTTGTGCAATTCATTCAAATCAGCTTTCTTCAAGTGGACGTTGTCCAAATGAAAAATAAGTTTCCGTCATCCGTGGTGAGATTGCAGATGTTTGGTTGAGGAGGCTTATCACTGCATGTCTACAAAAGTTTTTAAAAAAGGTCTTCGGGAGTGCTTTAAAAGGTTTGTTCAATCTTAGGTTTGGAGTAGATGGATCATCTCTCTCTAATTCTGTATATATATGCCCATGTGAGGAGCCATACATGAGTTACTTTGACACACAAATCAATCTGATCAATATATTGTGAAGAAGCTCTGACTTGTACAGGAACCAACTAATGGTTTCTGTTTATAAAAGCAAAACCATATGTTTTCAGTATCTTCAAGAATTAATTGAAGTCTAACCTTTATCATGTTAAGAACATTTTGAAGGTTCATAGTGAAAAGTTCAATATACACAAGGTATGAATCTGCTTAAAAAATTGGCCTGTTATGGACAATAAAGTCTTGAAAACAATGATACCAATATCATAATACCCTTATATAGATTAATGATAAGGCCACATCTGGAATAATGGAGGTGGAGAAGGTACAGAGGACTTTTGTTAAATTTTTATGCCACCCATCTCCCTATAAAGGTGACTGGGCAGTTATCAAGGGGCTATCAACTATTAAAGGGCTGGAGCATCTTCCCTATGAGGAAAAGTTGCAACATATGGGACTTTTTGGTTTAGTCAACATGTTTAAAATGTTAAAACATTTGTGATATGGATAAAGTGGAGGACAAGCTACTTTCCCTCTCAAAATACTAGAATTAGCAGTCATCTAATGAAATTAATCTTGGAAGAATGGGGACCGACAATATTTTGTTTATCCAATGTGCAATTAAACTTTGGATTTCATTATCATCAAATGTGGCTACTACTACTAGCTTGGCTAGTTTCAAAAAAAGTATTGGCTCAATTCTTGGATGTCATGGGGATCAATGACTTAATTTTGATAGTAGTGTGAATGTTTCTGAAGACCATCTACTGAGAGAGTAATAGACTTCTTTGTGCAGATAGTTGGCAACTGTGAGATCAGATTGCTGAATTAATAGTTCATATCATGTTTAAGAGGCTGCAGAAGTATCTATTCTTGTATCAAGGTAACATGATTTCTCATGAAACATTTTATGATCTGGATGTTTCTGTAAGCATAATATTTTACTCTTCAATTGCTGCATAAGTGGTACAATGTGTAGGAACATTATTGCAGATAGATAAATTCTATGATTTAATAAACCTTGCAGCTACTGTAGAAACAAAAATGTTTCAAAATGTCATTGCATCTAGATTATGTAAACAATAAATATCCCAAATATATTTAGATTCCAATGTGCAGTATGGTATTGCAGCTGTATTCCAACACTGAAAGATTGCACACCTATCTGCCTGCTTTGTGGCCTTTTTTCCCAAAATGGATAGCTGTATAATGATACCAGAGATTAATTTGCAATAGTTATACTATGATGTTGAAAAGAGGTTTGCATTTAATTCCGTTCTTGTGTCTAGTTAGGTTTTTTTACTCTTCCCCTTTACTCCTACTTACTCCTTAGTACCCAGTTTTGCTTTCTTTTTAGCGGGAAGTGGAGATCTTGATGTTTCTGAGTGCCATTGTGATGATGAAGAATCGCCGATCCAGTAAGTAATGCTATATTTATTTATTTATTTATTGGTTCGATTTATATGCCGCCCTTCTCCGGAGACTCAGGGCGGCTTACAATGTGTTAAGCAATAGCCTTCATACTTTTGTATATACCTGCTTAGTAGGGCTTTCGGCTCCCCCTAAGCGGTGTTCTTTTTTATACAAAGTCAGCTTATTGCCCCCACAATCCGGGCCCTCATTTTACGTACCTCGAAAGGATGGAAGGCTGAGATAGGGATAGGGATATATGTGGATAGGGAGAATATCTACCATTCACCTGTATCTCAGATTCTTGGTCTTTCTATCTCGACAGAAAGCAAGGATCTTCTAGAATTTCAAGAATTATTCAAAGACAATAAGATGACATTTTAGAAATCTTAGCTGGATTGTTTTCCTCCTTTCAAATGAAATTTATCTCCCAGGTTATTAGATGAAGACTTTTTCAGACCCTTACTCATGGCTCTTCTATGAACTAGGGAGGAATGCACTTAGAATATGAATCTCCAATTCTAAACAGATCATTGTATTACACAGCAAATGAATTTTTAATTGTCATTTTTGAAATATTTAGAAAAAATTTCATAGGTAGGTTTTATTTGTACTAGAAGTTGTTCTAATGGATAATCAGACTGCTTCAACCTGAGTAAACAGCTGCTGCAGAATGGAATGCATGTGGGAACTTTATGCCATGGTCTTATCTTTGTACAGTAAATAAGACAAAAAGCTGCAAGGCACCTGCTCCCAGAATACAGTGGCTTAATTTTCTAAGTGCATTCCTATTAGAGGAAGGGCTTTAAAAGGAATTTGCTTCAGGTATGGGTAGGAACAATCTAAAGAGATGAAGGTTAACAACACTTTCATGCACTTAATGCGGCTATATGATTGCGTAAGGACAAGCAAAGAAAATCAGAGGGATAATAAGGGTGAAATAGAACTATAGCGCCTGAGATAATGAGTCAAGTATGGGAGAAGAATGGCAGAATAAATAACCTAAACTTCTCAAAATAGTATGTTTATTAGTTTCATTCCAATGATTGATTGATTGATTGATATTCATTCATCACATTCATTCTGATCCTTAAATATAGGAAGCTATCAGATACAAAAGATGGAAGTGGTTGCTGAGTAAAAGGAAATTATTAGTTTTAAAAAACTAAATACTGAAATGGAAATACATAAAATTGTGTAGATTTTATGATCAGGAATTGTGAGGTGGGAGGGGAATCATCATTTTTTAATGAACATCAGCTTGCAAAGCTTGGCTACTATTAGAATATGCTCCTACTTTGCCTGAACAAGCCGGCAGCCTAAACTGTCCAAGCAATGAGTGAGGCAAATTTTGATACTGTTAACTTTGTGTGCGCAAGTGTAATGCCTACCCCTACAAAGCAAATACACAAGCCTCCAATGAGAAAAACGTAATTATTCTAAAATGAGCCCCACTAGGGATTTGGGAAGTGGAAGACTGGTATTATTTATCTTTTTAAAGGAATATTTTAGTAGTCCTACTGCAGCTATATCCATGTCTTGCAATTAGGTGTTTATAGACATTTTTCTGCAGAGCCTTGCAGTTTAATTTTGCAATGGAATAATGCTAATTAACTGCTTAAATGTGATTTATTAAAATACTGTTTTAAGAGTCATTATCCAGAGACAAAAGTTTGGGCTTCTCTGATTTACTTATCTCCAGGCTAGAAACCTGACAGGGCTCTGACTTTGCATACGAGCTCATCATGGCCAGAACGTACTTATACTTGTCAAAGGAAAACCTAGGCTATGTCATGAGGCCACTCAGTCCCTGAATGAAGACTCAGCACAGTAAGGTAAAAAGCATGGGGTGCTTCAGCTATGGGGGAGACCCTGGGAAGCCCATTGCAGGCCATGCATGCATTTCTCTCTGATCAGCGGCTGAAAATCCTGTTTGGATTTCAGCAAGAAGGATTTTCAGCCCCTCGATGGAAAGATATGCATGGCCTATGCTGGGCCTCCTAGAGTCTCTCCCATTCTTTTGAGGCATCACTCTGCTTCTTACTTGAGACTCCAGCTGCTTAATGGCCCACAAGATCACTTAATAGCCACAACCAGGAATACCAGGATTGCAGTTGTTGAGTTGGAGCAATCACGTGATTTCTCACTTAATGACTACTACGCTCTACAACCAAGTTCACATCCTGATTATGGTTGTAAACAGAGGACTACCTGTAACATATGCTAAATTTTTACTCAGTTCACAGCCCAATGAAGTCCTTAATTTTTTTCTTGGGAGTGGAGGTTGTACAAAATTAATTGATCATTATAGTGAGTTCTAGCAGTGCAAAATTTGAGGATCCCAAATGTCAAGAATTACAAAAATATGATGCTGTAAATAGACTTTCAGGTTGTCCTAGCTTACCGTAGGTGACCCAGGAATGTTTTATAATATCCTCCTAATCATCTTTTTTATCTCTGTTTCACAAGTCACTGTGGACCAGCATGTGGGGAATATCTTTATGTTCAGCAAAGTGGCCAATGTCATCCTTTTCTTTCGTCTTGATATCCGGATGGGGTTGCTGTATCTCACACTCTGCTTAGGTGAGGTCTCTGGGATGGGGCTCTATTTACATTCTTCATATAGGGATTGATCCCGGAAATAATTGGGCTTGAGCTAAAAAAAAAAATGCTCTTGGCATCCTGATCTAATGCATAGGATTTTGATTTGTAAACATTACTCTGGTTTTCCACTTTGTCTCTCTCTGACTTTCTATCATGATTCCTGGTGACAATAAGATAACCTTTCCCTGATTACTCTGTCTGAAATATCCAGATATTGTCAACCTATATTATTTATTTATTTTATTATTATTTTATTATTAGAATTTATATGCCGCCCTTCTCCTGAAGGACTCGGGAGAAGCGGCTCACATAAATAAAAAACAATAACAAAATCTAAAAACCAATCTAAAATTAAAATCCCCAAATTTAAAACCTCGTAGAATGATCAGGGAGTCTGCTGGAACAGCCATGTCTTCAGGCCAGCGTGGAAAGTGTGGAGATTGGGAGCCGTCCGGAGCTCAGTGGGTAACCCATTCCAAAGGGTCGGTGCGGCCACAGAGAATGCGGCTTCATGTAGATGTTAAAGAGCAGGGGGGAGAGAACCGACTCCTGTGGTACCCCACATGTGAGGGGCCTAGGGGAGGATCTCTGATCCCCTGCCCAAACAAACTACGTACAGCCCGAGAGGTAGGAGGAGAACCACTGTAGCAGTGCCCCCTATTCCCAACCCCCGGAGCCATCGCAGTAGGATACCATGGTCGATGATATCGAAAGCTGCTGAGAGGTCAAGTAGCACCAGAATGGAGGAACAGCCCCCATCCTGGGCCCGCCAGAGATCATTCACCAGGGCGACCAATGCCGTTTCCGTGCTGTGGCCGCGCCTGAAACCCGACTGGTATGGGTCTAGGTAATCAGTTTCCTCCAGGAATTGTGGAAGTTGGTAGGCCACCACGGCCTCAACAACCTTCGCTACAAGGCGAAGGTTGGAGACAGGATGAAAGTTGTTTAAGGAGGCCAGATCCAGGGCTGGCTTCTTGAGGAGGGGACGAACCATTGCCTCCTTGAGTATGGCAGGGAAGACCCCATCTCTCAAGGAAGCATTAGTAATCGCCCAGATCCAGTCTCCAGTCACCTGTCTGGTTGCCACGACAAGCCAGGAGGGACATGGGTCCAGCAAACATGTGGAGGCTCCCAATCTACCCACTATCCTGTCCACTTCCTCTATGGAATCAGGGTCAAACTCAACCCAGATGTCACCTTCAAGGCTTGCTCCCATTCCCTCGTCGGATTCTGCTCAGTCAGAGTCCAACCCCGTCCGGATCTGAGCGACTTTGTCTTGCAGATATTGAACAAAATCCTCAGCACTACCTTGTAAAGGGTCCTCCCTCGCTCCCTGATTGAGGAGGGAGCAGGTCACGTGAAACAAGGCCGCTGGGCGGTTTTCATACTGAAATTTTTATTATATAAAAGAAACACCACCTTTTTTTCACCAATCCTTCCTTTCTATTGCTGTAGAACCCTGTTGGTTCTACATGTTTTGCATTTTTGTTCCCTAACTGCCTTCCTGCCCATTCACTTTCAGCCTTTTTAATATTTCTTTTCCTGTTTCACCCATTTACCTCTAGCTTCTTCTATTGCTTCCAACCCACCCTCCAGGCAAAAGCAAGACTTTTATTAATAATAGATATTATGAGTTTGAAAAAAGTAATGCAGCAAAAATCCTGCATGCAGATACAGTGTGCAAAATAAAAAAATTAAATGTTTTTAAAAATTAAATAAAACGACCGTGTCCACTTGTGGAGCATGGCTATCAATATGTGTGACTTCCTCATCTCATCCTAGCTAGTGTTGAGATCTGCTTTTTGTGCGTTTTCAGTATTCCTGATGACTTGCAAGCCACCTTTGTACTTGGGTCCAGAACACATCAAATATTTCAGCGATAAAACCATAGATGTGAGTATTTTGGTTTTTTGCAGACCACTTGTTTTGGGAAGAGTTGTATAGATTTCTGACTTCTTTCAGCTATCAGAATATCATGTGTAATGTTCATTTCTGTGTGATGAGCAGGCTGTCAGCAAGATCCCTCTTTTACAGGAGGAACTAGCTCGGGACAAGCGAGTGACCTGGATTGTGGAATTCTTTGCTAACTGGTCCAATGAATGTCAGTCATTTGCTCCTATCTATGCTGATTTGTCTCTCAAGTGAGTGATTTGCATTTGATTAAATATTCTGAGATTTCGGAGATGAAGCTGAGACTTCAGTCAGTCATAAAGCACTGCCTATCTGTGCCCTTCCTAAAGCATTGTTTAAAGTACAACCATTCCCCTCCTTCCAGCATGCTTATCTTTAATGTGTCTTGCAGCTTCTAATTTTACTTGATTAATGCACTGATGTTGGATTTAAGACTTCTTCCTTTGCTGTAATAATCACAAAACAGCGTCTTTTTCAGAAGTTATAACTACATTTGAAAAGTTTGAAGTGTCCACACTAGCTATGACTTAATAATAGTGATGAGATGTACTTGGTATGCCTGCACTACAGCTAAGAAGAATGGGAGCAAAATATATACTGGTAGGTGAGAAGAAACATATTTTTAGGGGCAGGCTTCTTTTCTCTCCTCCACATAACCTCATTCTAAGTAATTGTTAGAGAAACCATATTGTGCAAAGAGGAAAGGAAGACCACTCGGAGAACCAGCAGGCTACCAGTTATCCTCAAATTAGATAGCTATTACAGGTAGTCCTCAACTTACAACAGTTCATTTAGTGACTGTTCAAAGTTACAGTGGCACTGAAAAATGTGACTTATGACTGTTTTTCATAGTTACAACCTTTGCAGCATCTCCATGATCATGTGATCAAAATTCAGATGCTTGGCAACTGTTGATATTTATGACGGTTGCATTGTCTTGGGATCATGTGATCACCTTTTGCGACCTTCTGATAAGCAAAGTCAATGGGGAAGCCACATTCACTTAACCCTATTAGTAACTTATCAACTACAGCAATTCACTTAACTGGGGCAAGAAAAGTCATAAAATGGGGCAAAACTCACTTAACAAATGTCTCACTTAACAACAGAACTTTGAGCTCAATTGTCATAAGTCGAGGACTACCTGTACTTATTTGGCCCCACCATTTTAGCCCACTGTATCTAGATAGGACAAGTGGGACTTGAAACAAGTATTAGTTTTTATTACTTCATTCCAACCTCCCGTTCCCAGTCATGTCTCTTCTGTTAATCATTATTCCATATCCCCAAAACATGCTAAAGGAATCCCTGAGAATTCACCATGGCATCACTGGCCTTGAATCTGCCTGGATGCCCTCCAAATGTCTCCAGCCAGCATGGTCATACCTGAGCATTCTGAGAATTGAAACCACCATACCTGGCAGGAGTCCTGGTTAAGAAAGACTGCTTCAGTAGTCTGCACTCCCATGCACCATTTCAAAGACAAAATACTATATTGTTTTGGTGAATGAAGATAAAGCAACTGGGTTACTGGGACAGTAACACAGATACATTGGTCTTTTTTAGAATTGAGGTTGCTATACTGAAATACTGAAGCAAATGATTAAAAAGGACTCATAGACTAGGCTTTGTAGTTGTATAAAAGCAGTATTATTCTTGAGAAAAGTAAATGGAAATGAAAAATACTTTTCCTTGAGGAGATTTTATTGTGATGTGAGGGAAAGGAACAGAGGTCTAGAAGCAGAACTGATAAAAATGACAATAATTAATCTATTAGCTGTTTTGGATTAAAATCTCTGGATCAACCTGGATGTAAGCCTTCCTACTCAGCATGTTGTTTACTTTTATGCTCGCATTGTATTTTGGTAGCTTTTGGCTAAGTGTATATTGGTAGCTTTTGGTAGTGTATATTGCTTCCAGCAATAGCCAGCAGATGGCTACAGTGTAGATTTTTTTTTTCAGTCAGAAAAAATAAATTTGCTTTCCTGGTAATAGTGACTGTAGTTTAAAGAAAAAGAGTAATTCAGTTCTGTAATGTATAGTTCCAGTTAGACTAGGAAAACTCTTGTCTAACTTAACTCGAATTCATATTTGTTCATAAATCTTTTTGTGTGACTTTGGGGGAAGCCTGTTACATATAACTATAATGAAAATAATTTGGCTTAATTTGGATAAGACCTCAGTGAAAAATTGCCTGTAAGGCGCATTCCAATGAAAAATAAGGGAAGAGGAGAATAATTGTTACTATTACCAAATACTTTACTTGCTGGCATTTCCATGTATATGGTAATCACTGTTATATTTTACCAGGTATAATTGCACTGGATTGAACTTTGGAAAGGTTGATGTGGGTCGCTACCCCGACGTCAGCACCAAGTAAGCCTTCAGCCTCTATACATATCTAGGATGCTTAGACAGACTAGAATGCCAGATTGTGAGAGAGAACATGGGGAAGATTTACTTTCTAATAGCAGGGCACTGCAGAAAAGGGAGGACATTGGTTGGTAATCTCAAAGTATAATTGGTTAGATTTGGAACTCCCAAAGAGATAGCAGGCTGTAGTAAGACGCACATTTCCAATTTACACATAATTATGGATACTATAATACCTGAAAATATCAAGATTTTGGTGGGTCCCAAGACATGTTCTTGGCCTGCCTGTTTGTTTATGAGGCCAGAAAACATTACTAACTTGATTAGACGCTACTTTTCAGAAATTATTTTTGAATTTTCATTCATCTCTTCATAGGTACAAAATCAGTACTTCTCCTCTCACTAAGCAGCTGCCTACACTGATCCTTTTCCAAGGTGGTAAAGAGGTAATGCGCCGGCCACAGATTGATAAAAAGGGACGAGCAGTTTCTTGGAACTTTTCTGAGGTATTTTCTTTAGCCATAGTTGATAGTAAGCAAAAGTCCATAGTAAAATGTCTGATAAATTACTAAATTATTGAAGTTGAGTTGTCACATTGGGAGCTGGGGGCTGGCACAAAGCAACAGTCATGTTATCTTTCTCTTCCAGGAGAATGTGATCCGGGAATTCAACTTGAATGAGCTATACCAGAAAGCCAAGAAAATATCCAAGCATGCAGATGAGAACTTTGAGGAATTTTCAGAACAGTCCGCTATCACAGAGCATCCTAATGGGGAAAGCAAGAAAGACAAATAGTGCCTGTAAGACTGGACCATAATGCTCTTACTGTTAAGCTCTCCATTTCTGTTTCCATCCTGACATTTCTCCCAGGATGTCATTCGAAGACTGCTTCTACCCAACAGTGATGGTGCTGGGAGATGTGTGTAATCACTAAGATATTTATCATTCTGGGCTCTGCTGTTGGCTGTGGACCTCTACATTTTCTTTTGTATTTTTGTTCCAAATTTTCTTTCCAGGAGTCACTACTGATATTTAAATAATAGAACCAGCCAGAGAAAATCTTGGTGACCTCCTCAAGGAGAATATCACCGTAGAATGCAGGTTGCTTCTCTGGGAATTAGTAGGAGCTGCTAAGGAAAACATTGTAATAGGAGGGTAAATCTATTTCTTGTTTTATCGATATGATTTCAATGGTAAAATTGGAAAAACCCACAACTCCCATGAAATCAACTCCATTCACTCCTGAAGGTTCGCTCTGAGAAGATATTGGCATTTCTGACCAGTTTTTTGCTACCGCTACCCATTGCCCTATTATTATTGTGGTCATTGTTATTGTTATTAAGAAAGGTCTTGTGGTATCTTGTGGTCTTTTCTCTTTTTAGAAGCTAATGGGCAATAGTAGAATATTTGCTGAACTTGAAGTTGTGCCAGAAAACCAGTGGCTAATGTACAGCTTTAAAAGATCTGTCTTTTATAGTAACAGCTGGTAGCTTAGTGTAGCTGTTTGACTTGGAGGAACTGCTGTTTCTATAGTCCATCTAATACTGCACTAAACAGGATTTAACTAATGGGGCAGATGTTCTGGAACTACATTGGCAGACGTTCCTAGCCAGTGTGGCTATCTGGGTAGAGCAAGCGTTGGGCAAGTCTGTCCCAGCGATTTTAGTTGCTCCACTCCGAAGATGGAGGGCTTGCTTGTAGGTGAAAACACTGCAAATCAGCACGGTTCATCCATGTTCATGCTTCCGTTAATGGTCTTGTACAGGTGCCTTTAATAAATCTGGGGGTGTTGTATTCTTGTGACCTTTTATTGATTTATTAGATTGTTGGTGGAGTTCCTGCCTTCATGGTTTGACTTTGGCTTATTAAAAAAGTACAGTCTTCTAATGTTTAAATCAATTTGCTCAAGGCTCAGCTTATTCTTTATCAAGCAGCATTTTCAGGCTTTCATTTTTTCTGTTGGGGTATATTTATAGAAGATATGCAAGCAAATGAGATTCACATTGGATAGGTTCACATAATTTATTCCATCCTATCATTTATATTCTAGAGTGAAGCAGACAGGAAAAAAAAGGGGGGGGGTATTTTATTATTTATTTCATAATATTTGTAGCCCATCTCATTCCTAGCAGATTACCACGTTTTGCATTAAAAGGATTAACTAAATCCTGGATCTAATCCTCCATCTATTTAAATAAGAATTCCTGTTCTTAGTAGTATGGGTTCTGCTGATTTGACAGATGGAAAAGACATGCTTCTTTCAGAAGTGTAACTGCCTTTCTTGTTCTCAGAATATATAACGGTACAAAAACAAAACTGTTTCAGTGGCAAATGAAGGAGATGTGTTACCTGGGATCTGATATTATTTTAACAGCGGCAAGGAGCAAGTCTTCTTCAAGCGCCCATCTCTTTTCTGGAGGAGACAAGCAGGATGTTGGTTTTGGCCCCAGCGATAGGACTGGAACCAACTGATGGAAATAGCAGAATAACAAATTTCAGCTCAATGTTAGGAGAAACACAGTTTCCACAACACAATGATCCATAAACAATACTCTCAGGAACAGCATTCCTCTGAAGTCTGTATTGCCTTAATCCTATTAGAATTTCAAAGTATCTTGGACATCTGGCTTTTTCCACAGGGCAGCTTCTGACCCTGCTTACTGATTTATGTGTTTTCCTAATATGAGCAATCTTATTAACTTGATTTTAATTTATTTATTTACATCCCACTTTTTCCATTTTGTAAAAAAATAACTCAAGGCAGTGAACATATCCACCACCAATTTTCCCCACAACTACAATCCAATGGGGTGAATTGGGCTGCGAGAGAATGACTGGCTCAAGGTCACCCAGCTGGCTTTCATGGCCAAGGCCTGACTTGAACTCAGTTTCATGCTTTAAACCAAACTGGCTCTTTTTCTGGGCTGTTTTTTTAAAAGTTCTAATAATTTATATGGACATAAGATAACTATTGTTGCAGTTGCAATTGAGCCTTATAAGTCAATTGCTGATTTTGTACAACATTAATTCTCATTAGCTTGGTTAGTTATTAAATTTATTGTATGAACTCAAGCCAATAAGTGGGGTCTGACAGCAAAAGAGATTTTCTCAGGAGACAAATGATGTACTCTCCTTTGTTAGAGTGCTGGGCAGCACATCCTACTGTACAGGTAGTTCTCAACTTAGAACCACAATTAAACCCAAAATTTATGCTCTTAAGTGAGACATTTGTTAAATGAGCATTGCCCCATTTTATGACCTTTCTTGCTAGTTTAAGTGAATTACTGCAGTTGATAAATTAGTAACCCGGTTGTTAAGTGAATCTGGCTTCCCCATTGACTTTGCTTGTCAGAAGGTTGCAAAAGCAGATCACATGACCCTGGAACACAGCAACAGTGATAAGTATGAACCAGTTGCCAAGCATCTGAAATTTGATCACCCGATCGGGGGATGATGCAAAGGTCGTAACTGTGAAAAAACGGTCACAAGTCACTTTTTTCATTGCCGTTTTATAACGTTGACCGGTCACTAAATAAACTGTTGTAACCTGAGGACTACCTATACTGCAAGATTCTCTATGGAGCTGCAAGTTGGATTCAATTACTGACTCTTGCGAAGTGGCCGTTGACTTGAAAGCAGAAAAGATACATCGGTGAATGAAGCAGAACAACTACTGCACAAACGAAAGATGCTCACAAAGTGACGGAAGAGCAACAGAATGCAGGATGGTACCTTCTCCAGAAGCGCCAATCCAACCCCGCAGTGCAGCCACTTTCACTGACAGGTGCCGCTACCTGCCCCGCTCACCGGGTTAATCCGGCCAGGATTGTGACTCCTGTCTACCTACCCATAAAATAATTGCCGCCTTTGCTACCCTGTCACCTCCACTTTCAATAGAACACGTGCCCAGCTAATACAGTAGCTCAGGCATCCTCAAACTACGCGGGACGGATACAGGCCGTGCGGGACTACGAGGCTGGCATGCCCTCATCGCAACACCCACCTGCTGGGCCCCGCTCTTCGGCCACGTGAAGGGCTTACATTTGCGAGGGCCGGCAGAGTGCTTCTGGGGGGTGGGGAGGCCCTGAAAAGCATCCACGTGTCATGTTTTTGGCTGTGGGGTGCATGTATGAGAACTGAAGGGTCCCAACAGGAGAGCCTGCGCCTGCTGCGTAATTACACTGCGTGATGCTTTGTGGAGGCAGCTTTGCTCAAACGTGGGTGGGTTTCAGCTGTCACAAACATCTCCTGACTGTTTCTTCACGGATCAAGGGGGGATCTTTGCTTGCTCGGAAGGTCAATTTTCTCCGGCAAGTTGCAACGGTAAGGCAATTTGAGTTTGGGAGATTTCAGGCTTGGAATGAGAATCAATCAGGAATCAGGTGAACCTCCTTTCTGTGGGGTCTGCGCAACGTGGGCTTCTTTGAACACCCCCATCCCCATTTCCGCTTCTCTCCTCGCACTGCTTCACAGCTGCTGTGGACGGGCTGGCAGGTCCCCAGATAGGGCTGCCCAGAGGGGACGAACCTGTTCTATTCTGGGGCTTCTGGGTTTTTTGCGCTTCCTGATCTCCCACGTGGGACAAGTAGAAACGGGGGCTCCCTGCACTTTTTTTCAAAGTGCACCGTTACGACCTATAAAGGTTACCTACGGCACCTTTACGACCTATGGACTCCAACTCTCAGAATTCTCAGGGCTATGAAAGAATTGGGGCTGAAGCCAAACCGGGGGGTGGTGGTGGTGGTGGAGGATGGATAGGGATAACAAGAAACATTCCATCAGAACAGGGGTGGGCAACTGTGGCCCTTTTACAACCTGTGGACTTCAACTCCCAGAATTCCTGAGACAGCTTGGCTGTCTCAGGAATTCTGGGAGTTGAAGTCCACAGGTTGTAAAAAGGCCACAGTTGCCCACCCCTGCGTCAGAATGTTCAAATGCTCAATATGTTACAAGTGGGTTATTGAATGTTCAATAATCCACTTGTAACAGCTAAATTCCTTCGCTCTTTTTTTTTTTTTTGCTGTTCCGCCCTGCCGCCCCCTCAAATCTCTCATTATGACTATAGGAGCCATCGGGGTAGCGCTACTTGTGGACGCAAATTCAAATATTCCCCCCCTCCCCCCTATTAAGGTGAACGTCCTTTTGCATAGTCCCCCACCTCACCCCATCCCCGCTGATAAAGAGCGGGACTTTTTGGCTTTTGTTCTAATGATCGGGGGAGGATGCTAGGCTGAGGCTTCAGGAGGGTGGATTCCAAGGAGGATGGAAGAAGTTGGGGCACGCACATGTCCCTCCCCTCCCCTCCATTAGATAAAATGTACTTCCACTCATAAAACTCATCCTTTATCCAGATCGGAGATGTGGAGTTAGTTAAATGGGGGCGGGGTGGGTGGGGTTGTTCAAAGAATCCCACGTTGTGCAGATCCACAGAAAGGAGGGAGGTTCACCTGATTACTGTTTGATTCTCATTCCAAGCCCGTAATCTCTCCCAAAATTAAAATTGCCTTACCGTTGCCAGAGAAAATTGACCTTCCGAACAAGCAAAGATCCCCCCTTGATCCGTGAAAAAACAGTCAGGAGATGTTTGTGACAGCTGAACCCCTCTCTCTCTTACTCCCCCACCCCAGTTTGAGCAAAGCTGCCTCCACGAAGCATCGTGCGCTTTCAGCGAAGGGGCATTACTGCACTGGGGCAACCAGAGGTGAGCCCAACCCCATTGCCCATGGCTGCTCCTTCCGCAGGTGGATTTTTTTTTTTTGTTTTTTCTTTTTGACGGACCAGATCCCCCGTTTAAATCTACTGTGGAATTGAAGGAATCCCTGAAGGAGGAATCCCGGCTGTCTCTACCCCTGGAGAGGGAGGCAGGAAGGGCATGGAATGGAATCAGAAATGGGATGGGATGGAATAGCAATAGAATGAAGCGGGAACGGGAAGGGATGGTCACATGACCACCTAGCCACGCCCCCCCCCCCGCAGGTCCGCCCCGCCCCCCCAACAGTCTGAGGGACTGAATTGGCCCCCTATTTAAAAAGTATGAGGACCCCTGCAGCAGCCCTTCGAAACCGAGTCGTGATTGGTTGCTACGGAACGTCACTCAAAACGCCCCGTTTTCACGGGCGGGCAGCGGCCATCTTACGAAAAGTCTTTGGCGCGCGGGGCAGGCGGGAGGCGTGAGATTGTGGCAGCATCGTCGCCGCCGCCGCTTTGGAAGGTGAGGCGGGAAGGCTCTTCCCTCTATCTGCCCCTGGGGGGTTGGTCGTCTGCCTTTTGCGGGTTTTTCGTTAATGCTCCTCATTCCCTTCCAGTCCAGCGCTTAATGGTGTAAAGCTGCGGGAAATTTCCTTTCTGGAGCATAAGAAGCTGCCCACCGTGTGGATTGCAACAACAACAACAACAAAAAAAGCAGGCGCGGTTGCTTCGCTGCTTGAAAACCCGGAGGCTGCTCTCTCTTAATAGTCGTGTTTTTTGGCTTCTCAGTTGAAGTATCCCTCTAAATCTGAGAGCAGGATGGATCTCTTCCCCGCAACTCTAGAGCCGCGATGTTTTTTTTGTTTTTTTTTTAAATGCTTAAATCTAAATGGTTTTCTTGGCAAACTTCTCTGCGGTTCGTTCTTCTGTTTTCTCCAGCGAGGGTTTTTGGACCGATTATGTTATGCTTATATTTAATGGTTATATTGCCATTTCTCTTTAGCGTCGTCAAAGATGATTCTGTTGCTTCTGGTCCTTTATCCGTTGCATTTGTACAGACAACTTCAAATCTTTGTACAGACAATCTTTCTACAGACAAATTTGTACAGACAATCTTCAAACTTGGCAGCTTTAAGACTTGTGGACTTCAACTCCCACAATTCTCCAGCCAGCTATGCTATGCTGGCTGGAGAATTCTGCATTTGTATATCCATCCATCCTTTTTCTCCCAGCGCTCAGCATCTCGTCCAGTGAGCCCAGTAGATGAATGGGAATTTGAACCCTGGTCTGCCTAGCAAATCCCAACATTATTAAACTATTCTACAGGGGTCTCCTTTCCTTATAAATTGGTTAAACAGACCATGATCATTTATAATCCTTTTTTTTTTTTTGCCCTGCTTTCTTTTCAGATGAAAAGCTTGTGGGTAAATTGTGGAAACCTTTTGGGAAAAGTGTATTTTTGAGATGTGATGGCTAATAACACCACTTTATTTTGGAGTAGTACCGTAAAATTATATATCAATGGAAAGATAATTTAATCAAGAATGTAATGCAACAAACGTCTGTTCAATTATCTGTATTCTATGAAAAGTTATAGCCAGATAACCAGAAAAAGGAAGCACAACTTGCTTAGGTTGATATCAGGTAGCTTTCCTTCATCTGATTGTAGCCAATGAGCATGAGAGTTTAGAGAGCCAATCAGGTGTCATCCTGTTTTGGCAATGAGCCAATCAGATCACAGTAGGATTCAGTTATTGATATCATGTATTAAAGCTGAGAGGAGAACATTTGCCAGTGTGTTATGTGATCGCTATCAAGTTGGTTGGGGTTTTTTGTGTTCTTTCATTTAGTGAGCTTGTAAAACGTAATAAAATTAAAGTAATGGTGCAAAGCGTTGACTGGTCGTCCAGAAAGCGATGTAAAATAGTATTATTAAGTGAACAAGGCTACAGTTATAAAGAAATTAGAAGAAAAATTGGTGGAAACTTAACCAAAGGTGGCATTTCTAAGTTTTTGAAGAGGTATAAGGAGACTCAGCCACTACAAAACCACACTGGTAAAGGCAGGAAAAGGTGCACAACTGCAAGTGATGATAGAAGAATTATGAGACTGTGCCTATGTGACAGAAGAAAATCATCTGGGTGTATACAAGATGAAATGGCGCAATGCAGTGTGAAGTTGAGTGCAAGGACTGTTCGGCGCAGACTGCGGGAATTTGGTTTAAAATCTAGAATTCCACCAAAAAAGCCACTTTTATCTCTCAAACAAAGGTTGAAAAGCATTACATTCTTGATTAAATTATATTTCCATTGATAGATAATTTTAAGGTACTATTCCCCCCCAAAAAAGTGGTGTTATTAGCCATCAAACCTCAAAAATATACTTTCCCCACAAGGTTTCCACAATTTTGACCACTACTGTATACTGAGATCTGTAATCCAAAAATACAAATGTAATATTCTTTCTTCTTGCCTTCACTTCAGAATGCCTCCCAAGGGGCGGAAAAGGAAGGCAAAGATCCCTCAAGCAGAAGCCACAGCGTCCAATGGAGAGGAAGCCAGTGATGTGCCCAAGATCCGGAAGACTGAAGGATCGGGAGACCTTCGTGTGACCATTGAGCACTGGTAAGAGATCTGTGACATATTTGCCTACATATTGAGAGAAGGGATCAGTCAGATATCTTGTTTTAGAATAACTTTTATCCCCATTCTGAAAATAATTATTGGACCTGGGACAGGTATTCAGTAAAAAATAATAATAACAATAATGTGAATTTAACTGATTGTATTTGCTGTTGTATTTGTGGAGAAAAACAAGTTTTGTGGAGATGGGTGGATGTTTTAAATTGTTGCATGAATGTTGGTAACAGTTGCTTAGAGCTGCCTTCTCTTAGGTGTTCCAGGAATTCTAGAAATTGAAGCCTCAGTAGATCTGGAGACTCCTGGCTGGAGACATTTTAAATATGTGTTCTCCAAATAGGAAAGAATGTCATCTGGCCTTATTAGTACAATGAATATATTAAAACAGATTTTTAAAAAAATACTGCTGACCACTCAAATAGAAATACATTTTCTAATTCAGAAATTTTCTAACATTTTAAAGTTACAGAACCTGTTAATTTAAAAAATCTGGAATCCTAATCAAGAGGCAAAGCTCTAAAAACAAAGTTATTTAGGTTCAAGGGTGCTAATAGCTTTTTGCTATTAGCTTTTCAGAGAAGCCCATCAATTTCTCATGGAACTTTAGAGTTCTACAAAATGGTTTTTTTAAAAAACAACAACAATCACTTCCTCGGGAGCAACAAGGTCAAACTGTTCCCAGATAACAGGGCGAGAACCTGCTTCAGGGGTTTCCACCGGACCAGCAACCACACCGGCATCTAACTGGGAACGAAGTCGAGCGATTTTGTCTTCCAGAAAATCCATAAATTCCTCAGCGCACCCCTTCAGGTGGACCTCAATCACCTCCTTCCAGAGGAGGAGGAGGCTCACATTAAAGAGAGTCACCGGGCGATTATCTGCAGAAGCAATTAGTGTGGAGAAGTATTTACACTTCACTGCACGAATCGCCACGAGGTAGGCCTTAGTAGCAGCTCTTACCCGTATTCGATCGAGTTCATCCCCTGTCTTCCACCAGCGGTACTCTAGACGTCTCCTCATGCGTTTCATCCCTCTCAGTTCCTCTGTATACCAAAGGGCACAGAGAGGTCTACGGGTAAGGAGAAGTCACATGGGTGCAATCCTATCCAGAGCCTCAGTCACCTTCCTATTCCAAACAGTGACTAAGAGTTCGGCTGGACTGCACAGTAGATCTTCAGTTATAACTCCCAGCTCCTTCTGGAAGCCATCCGGGTCCATTAGTCGACGGGGGTGGACCAATCTCATAGGTCCTGCCTCCCTGCGGGGAGGTACAGCTCTTGAGAAACTCATTGCCACCAGACTGATCTGATTATCACAAGGGGACCAAGGACAGGTCCACCAGTTCCAGGTCACATAGGCACTGCTCCGACAAGAACACCAAATCAGGTGTGTGATCACTATTACTAGTCGGGCCCTGGATGACCTGGGACAGGCCCATGGAAGTCATGGTTTCCATTAAATCTCGGGCTACCTCCGCCCCCATCCCCAGGGATGGGAGGTTGAAATCCCCCAGAACTATAAGCCTGGGGAATTCCAGCGCCAGCCCCGCAGTGAGGTCCAGGAGCCCGGGTAGGGAAGCTGTCACGCAGCAGAGAGGCTTGTACAGCAGCAGCAATCCTACCTGATCCCTTGAGCCCAACCTAAGAAAAAGGGTTTTACAGCCGGGCACTTGTGGAGCAGTGCCTCTGGAGGCTATTAGAGATTCTCTGATAATAACAGCCACAACCCCTCCTCGGCCATGAGGTCTAGACTGGTGCCATGCTCGATAACACACTGGGCACATTTCTAGGTGGGGAACACCTCCCTCTGGACCCAGCCAGGTCTCGGTTATGCAAGCCAGATCAGCTTTCTCTTCGAGGCTAGCCTTATTGCAAGCTGATCTGACATTTAAAAGTAGCAGCCTAAGACCAGGGCCACCACAGATCTGCTGATCAGGTAAATGAGGTGAGTGCAAGGGGGCAGAACACAAGACCGCTACTAAACACTGAGGTCACATTCCCTGTGCCTGTGCCCCCCCTTTGCCTCTCATATGTCTTGTTACCTGACACCACTGAAATAGGTTACCCTCCTCTGCCTTCCCTGAAAACCATTCCATCCTCAACACTCCTCTTTAAAAAGGGGAAAAACCTCCTTCCTCTGACACTGTTGGGGCAAGGTGAGCCTTACAGGCACTACAACACTTGCTCTCAGCACTCTCAAACTCACACCACCCCTTTCACATTGCCGCAGAGGGGTCACATCGAGCCCCCCTTATCTTCCAACACATTCAGAATACATCCACTCAATGCACAAACGGCACCCTGCCCGGTCGCTCTCATCCACCAAACAGGGAGCCACTCCTCCCCCACAGCTCTCACCTGGGGGAAAGGGACCAACACACTCGCCTCTCACTTAACTTTCCCTTCCAGCCCCAGGATTCCCCAAGCAGCCTTCCCAGGCCTGGTTACAGAACATTCAGAGGATTCCAGAAGCAAGATTGCAGAAGGTAGCCAGAAAAATAGCCAGAAGGCCTGTTATGCTGCACTGGAAATTTAGCAGCTGTGTAGTCCTACAAGGTCTCATGAAGTTCACAGTTCCAAGCTCCACTCGCCAGTTAACCTCAAGAAATCCCAATGGCAGCCTGCCACTCTCCATAGCGTTATTAACCACGAGTAGACCGAGCTGCCGACAAAAGCCAGTGAAGCTTGTCTCTTCTGTCAGCTCTGCCTCCATCAGATGACCCATGCCATAAATTCAGAGCTACAGCTACTGACACTTGCTTCTCAGACCAGGGTTTAACTTCAGTCAGGGGAATCCAGGGGGAGACCAGGGGAGTCACATAATTGTAAATCATCCACCTCCTCTGTTCCGTCTCACTTTCCAACTATCACTTTCTGACCTCTCCACTCTTTCAGCTCTCGGCTTTTCTGTTTCTTCACCTCTCCGTTTCTTCAACAAACACCAGCCTCTCAAGTTAGCTTATCAAGCTTGTCTCTTTCTTGTCTTTCTCTCTACACACTCCTCCACTTCCACATACCAATCTCTACATTCCAAATTTTCAAAAACCCATTCTGTACAACGCTCTGGAGCACCATCTACAAACATATGCAGCCGCTGTCGCCATCTTAAAAAAAAAAGTTAATGATACAAACTGTCATTTAGGAGCTACATGTGCACAAATTTATTCCAGGATGTATTTTATGTAATGACAATGCAAATGTCAGTTTGGGCAACAAGTGCCATATTTTTGTGTTTAATGGACATGTGTAAAATGATAGACAACTACCCCCCCACCTCCAAATAAAATGTTAAAGTCTTTATTACGAAATAAAATGAGAACGATATGTATTTTTAAATATGGTGGGAACCTTGTTCTTTTTAAGTTCCAGAGACTTTCAAAATAATAGTTCACATTCTTTATGTAGTATTAAGATTTTTTTTCCCCTTGTTTTTCTTCAATACTGACAGTAAAAGCTGACGAGTCTTTGGACGCAGAGCTGAGGCTGTCAGCCAAGAGCTGTGCCTGGCCTTTCCTGACATCGTTGTGGAGGTCAACCTTGAAAAACCCCGGAGAAATAGTTTTGAAGTAGTTCTCTTGAAAAAGGATGGCACCAGTGAGTTATTGTGTTGCTTATGGGAATGGGATGGATGAGATTCGGTTGGATTTGCAATCTCAACGCTAACCATTGCTTAGCTAGGACTGTCAAATATACCACAGATTTCCATGTTGAAAGCCATGCTAGTTAGGATTGTTGGCCTTAAAGCATACTTGACCACAAGTAGCAAGTGCATGCATGAAGCCTGTGATCAACTGCTCAGGAATTGCCCATCTAAAGATATTACAGAATGGACTTAAGTACGGTGTTTCCCTGAAAATACGACCTGCCCTGAAATAAGTCCTAGTCTGATTTTTTTGAATGGGCCTAATATACGCCCTACTCTAAAAAATAAGCCCTAGTGAAGGGGGTGAGGGTGGCCAGCACAGGAGACAGCCCTTCCCTTCCCCAGTCACCTCATGGCTGCTGGGCCCCGCTGGTGGAGTGGAGAAGAGAAACGGTGCAGGGGAAACCCTTTCAAACAGCTTTGCCTGCAATTTTTGTTACTCCCCTCTGTAGTTTCTCTTTCTTTCTCTCTCACACACACACAGACATTTGATCCCTTGAAAGGGACAGGCTGGGCTTTCCTTCTATCGTAAGCATGCGCTTCCCACAATCTTCCACAATTGCCTGTTCTTTTCTCTTCCCGAGGAGGGGGGGGGGGGGGGGGGGGGGGGAGCCGATTCCAACAAGCCCTATGGCTTTCTGCCTCATCGTAGCAGCAGCCTAAGCAACACTGGAGCTCCAGGCCTGGCAGAGCGCAAACCATGATCAATGCCTGCTCCATAGCCACAAGGTGAGCTGCAGAACAGAGGGGCCCTTGGCTGCAAGGTTGCCTGGAGCCGTGGGCAGGGCTGGGGCTAGCAAGAATGTGCTGGAAATATCTTCAGGCACTCGGGGAGACAGAACTCCCAGCCCTCGCTGGATCAGCTGATCCATGGGCCACAATTAAGGGGCCCAGCAGCCATGAGGTGACTGCGCTCGCCGCCTCCTGCACCTCAAAAAAAATAAGACCTCCCCAAAAATAAGCCCAAATGCTTATTGTCATGTCTAAAAGACCCGGTCTTATTTTTGGGGAAACACAGTATATGCCATCAAGTTGGTATAAAGTCTTGGTGACTTCACTGATAGATTTTCTCCAAGATACTCTGTTCTCAACCTGGTCCTTCAGAACTTTCAAAGGTACAACTGAATCCATGTGCCTTATTACAGATCGGCTTCTTTTTTTCTTTCCTTTTACCTTTCATAACTTTATAGATTTCTCCAGAGAGTTAGGTTTTTTTTATAATGTGTCCAAATTTTTCTAAATTGAACCTGATTATTTGTGCTTGACGTGAGAACTCTGGATTTATTTGTTTTATGATCTATTTGTTTAACATGGCATTTGATAATCATGGCAGTCTTGAGTTTTCTCCAACACCAAAGTTCAAAAGTCTCAATACTCTTCCTATCCTACTTCTTCAAAGTCCAAACTTTGTTTCTACAGAGTGTCGCAGGGAAAATCTTCTTTCTGTTGTACCTATTGTTTGTACCTATATGCTTTGATCTTCATATTCAATATTAGTCCCATATTTTCAGTGTCTGTGACTTTTTATTATTAGAATGGTGTTTTCATTCCACCCAGTATCCTAAACCAGAATCTCCAATGTGATTGTAAATCAAAGAAGGATTAGTCCTCTCACAAACTTTGTGCAGTATAGATGTGAAAGTGGGTATTGAAGCATAGCACCAGATCACCCACTGCAGACATCAGCAACATAAAATCCTGTGACAGTGTGTTGCCTTCTTAAAAAACATGCATTCATTCCCATAAAATAGCTAAGATTTTCTGAGAGCAGCAAAATATTGCACAATATTTTATGGTATATTCCTGAAATCTCGAGAGTTGGAATTAATTGCTCAGATCTTATATAAATGTGATGCCCAGACATAAGATATGATGCAGCGGAACTAAGTTACAGCCTAGAAAGATGGTTAATTTTGTTCTGCTTCATCATATCTTATGTCTGGGTATCACTTCGTGTGTTATGCAGTTTTGAAATGAGAAATAGTAGACTCTTCCAATTAATACAATGTTTTCCCTTAAATACATTGCATGTGTTAACTGTGCTAACTATGGTACTGACTACAGAAGGAGCAGGGAATGCAAAGTGGCTAAAAACATATATTGCATCTTCAAGACGGGAGAGATTGATGAGTGCACCAATCATGCCTCACCTTGTCACACTCAATATACGGTATATAGTGAGTGCCTTTCTCCATGGAGATGTTTCAGAGTGTTCAAGAAAATTTGGGAAAATGAGATTCTCAAATGGTAGACAACTTCCACAGCTAAGGAGATGGTTTGTTGCAGATATTCACATTTTTTTTAACGTGGAAAAAAAGAAGTTGCAGATGAAAGTGAAACTGTAGTATGAATGTCCCAAGCTTATTATTCTGGGAAAAAGAGCTACTGAATGTAATGAGACTTGCCATAGAATAAACAAGCTTAGGTTTGTTTGTTTGTTCAATTTCTATAGCTGCCCATCACAATCAATGACTGGGCAGCTTACAATTTAAAAAAAACCCAGTACAATTAAAATAATGAAAACTATAAAATCATCCAAAATATACATACACAGCAGCCGAGATACTTGGCCAGTTAACAAGTAAGCCAGGAAACTCTGCCTTTAGCACATTCAGCACAGACAGATTTTTAGAGCTTTATAATAGGATTGAGGCCATTCTAATCTCCAAGAGGAGGTTATTTCACAGGGTGGGTCTACTACAGAAAAGGCCTGTTTTCTAGTCCTGGCCAGCCAGGACTTTTTGGCTGACGGGATCTGCAGCATGCTCAGTCTGTTAGATTTTTCAAGGTAGAGACTCTTGAAAAAAAGCCGGTCCCTCAGGTAACCTAGTCCCAAGCCATGTAGGGCTTTTAAAGGTGACAACCAGCACCTTAAATTGTACCCGGAAACATACAGGTAACCAATGCAACTCATCCAGTACTAAGGTTATGTGTACTATATCTGGCACCTTTTACTACCTGCACCAGCTGAAGTTTCTGAATGCTGTTTAAAGGCATATAGTGTGTGTTGCAATAGTCTAAACAAGGGCATGAATCACTGAGCAGGGCCTTCTGGTCCAGGAATAGGCACAACTGACACACTGCCCAAAGGTGTGCATAGGTTCTAGCTATGGCTGCCACCTTTAAGCAGGAGCTGTGACTCTAGAAGGGACCCCCAGACTGCACACAGCCTCTGTCAACAGTAGTGCAACCTCATCCAGAACTAAAGGTGGAAGAACCTTGTGTCTGAAAGGTCCAAATATCCACCGCCACTCTGTCTTGCTAGGATTGAGTGGGAGTTCATTTCACCCCATCTGGTCCAAAACAGCCACCAAACATTGGGATAGCATTACTCAAAAGGCATGGGGTAGATACCGTGTTTTTCAGAGTATAAGACACACTTTTCTCCCCTAAAAGAGGCTGAAAATTTGGGTGCATCTTATACTCCAAAAGTAGCTTTTTTTAACCCTAATGAGGCGCTAGCGAGTGGTGATCTTCTGTGCTTTGCCTGCTTCTCATTGCTGCTCCCTCACGCCCAGCTGTGCTTTAGAAGCTTTTTTTCAGCCCTAACGAGGCGCTAGCGAGTGAAGCGATCTTCCACCCTTGCTTTTCTCATTGCTTCTCTCCAAAGATCAGCTGTGCTTTAGAAGCTGTTTTTTTATCCCCAAGCAGGGGATAAAAAGTGCCCACGCTCAAAACCAGCAAACTAATGTGCTGAAGCTGACCAGACTAAGAACGCTAGCCAGATGAATACCTGGTAGGCAGATTTTTTTGTCCTATTTTCCTCCCCAAAAACTAAGTTGTGTCTTATACTCCGGTGTGTCTTATATTCTGAAAAATACGGTATATAAAGCTGGATGTCATCTGCATATTGATATCTCACTGATGAAATCAGTGGATCACCTCACCCAACAACCTCATTTACTTGTTAAATAGAAGGGGAAAGAGAACAAGATCCTGGGCACCCCACAAAGTAGGGGCTGTGGGCTGGCTCTCTCCTTCTATCAACTGACTGGAACCAATCCTGAAGAAAGGAGGAAAACCAGCATAATAGTATTCCCACACTCAGTTCTTGAAACTGGCTCAGAAGGATACCATGATCAATGGTACTGAGCACCACTGAGGTCAAAAGGAGCCAGGATGGGTGCACTACCTCCATCCTTGATCCTGCCAGAGGCCATTTAAGATCATCCTCCTTTCAAGTGAAATTGGTAAATGTTGTATTTCAGACATGAAAAACGGAGGTGATGCAATGTAATGAATATGTTATTCATCATAATGAACGGCTGGGCCATTTTCATACAGGTCTGATTTATTTTACTACAAGCTACAAGTACCTTCGGTTCTTTTTATGAGCCCTATTGAGGAAGCATTCATTTTTTTTCATAGTACAATTTTTTCTCTGCACTCCGTCCCACAAACACAGCATCAACTGAACATCAAGCTTCTGTCCAGCTTGGCAGGGGAAAAAAATGAGGTAATTTAGAGATGAACAGTGTCTGACTGCAAGTAGCTCCATTTCTTTTGAAGGTAATTAGTTGATCAGTGAAATCAGTTCTGCTTTCAAACCATGAGACCTCTTGGCAGTATGTTTGGGATGTATTCACATTATATAATCCAAGTACTGTTGGTGATTGCTTATGTGTTAATTATTTTTAGAGATAGAGCTATGGAGTGGTCTTAAAAAAGGGCCACCCCGCAAATTGAAATTCCCAGAACCCAACAACATCATTGAAATGGTGAAGCGCAACTTAAACTAAAGTCAACAATGATGCAATAGGAGCAAAGTGGTAAGTTCACATCCAGAATGGCATTGTGTGTGTGTGTTTTGAAGTTCCCTGTGGTTTGTAAGGACAGGCAAGCTGCAAACCCTTATTTTGATTGGCCATAACTTCAGGCACCAGCCATAACTGCCTTTGTTTAGTGCCACCATAACTTTGAATGGTTGATGAATGGTCATTAAATCAGGGATTGGCTGTAATCTGTCCAAATAAAATGTCTTGAACCCCGTGCCAACCAACTGGTTCCTATACAGTATTTGAACAAATGTACATTGGAATGGGGTCTGGATATGTAGTATCCAGTACCCATCATTGATCATAATACCTAAAATGAGTCATAATTTACATCTCTGGAAACCTTAAATTCTGTATTCTTATACTGTGGGAAGCTCTCTTAGGTTGTATTATGGATAGCCATGTGCATCTGTACTGCGTGGTTTAGAAATGGAAACAAAACCATTGTATTCCTGGAAGTTGTAAACGATGGTCTTGAACTAGGGAGTAGGATCTGTGGCTAACAGGAATTTTTTGTTTTCTGCAGCCTCTATGACTGTCCATTTGTCCTGTGAGCTGGAGCATTTATGATGAGATATGATGAAGTGGGGTAAAGAAACTCTGGTCGTATCTCTGAAACTGCTGCCCCTCCTTTACAAGGAAGAATGGACCAAATAATATCCTTTCCTGCCCCACCATCCTTTCAAATGTTTGTTACTTCTGGGAACGTTTTGGGGAAGAACTTTATTTTCAGTAAAGCTTAACTGCCTCTATCTCGTTTAGTTCTGTGAAATAAACGTTTAGTTCTGTGTCATGAGATTCTCTGTCATGGCAGTTTAGTGTTGTCCACTGTTTTGCGAATTAAAGTTGCATATCTATATTCACATGTCCTGTTTCATCTGCTGGTGTTAAACTTGTCCTCCCAAGTACATACAACTCCCAAGCATACACATGACTTCTGAAAACATTTTTTTTTTTTTTTTTACTATTGCACTTTCATCCCTCCCATGGCTTCAGATTACCATGCTAATATTTTGTCCTGTATTTTTTTCCCAATAAAACCTAAATGCGTGCTTATTTGCTAGTGGCATTTTAGAAGTTGTACTTAAAATCTCTACAATCATGACAGAATAAAGAACCCTGAAAACTCAAGTCTCTCCTCTGCATTGTTTTCTTTTTTTAATTGACTAAGGAATCAGTCAAGTTGGAGTATCCAAACTATTCTGCAGGGGGGCCATAAATTGCTAATTACACTCTAAACCTATTTTTTTCTTCTGATTAAAGAAGATTAAATACAGCAACTAGTTTTCATTTTTTACTTTTCCTTTTAATTATCCTGTATTACTGATAGCAGTCCTCAGCCTTTGAAGTTTTAATATTTAATCCACATGCTTTTCCCTATGCACAAAATACCTGCTCAAGATCGTTAACTTTACTGTTAACTTCTAGTTTACTATGCTGACTTTATCAATCTTCCCTATGCTGCCCAACAACATGTAGTATTTGTGTGTATTCATTACTTTATTTCCTTTAGCTATAGTTAACCCCACAAGATGGCTTCAGTGTAAATATGATACAAAGTACCAAGAAAACTTAACAGTTTTTATTTGAACAAGTTACAACTCAATATTTATTATTCCAGTCTTTGTGCCATCTACTCTTCAGAATGTTCTGCATACATGAAGAGCTTTGGGTTGTGAGAGAAGGAAGTATTTGGCACAGCTTCGTGGAGGTATAGGTCATTGCACTTGAATACACTTCTCTGTGAAGAAGCTGCAACACAAGGGAGATGGTTTCAATGAAAAACAAGCAACTTGGCAATTATTCTCAAGCCTCTAGGGAGCCTTCTCTTATTTAAAATACAGAAAGTCAGCAAGGCACTTAGTTCCCTATATCGGTGTTTAAATACTGCAGGCCACTTATCGGGAGAAAAGTCAGCTCAATTCAAATGGGCCATCCGGCCAAAAGTTGCAGGAGAAAGGGGTGCTGCTTACAGCAACATATTGGTTTAAAGAGAAAGATTTAACATTTACAGCAAAGCATGTACTGCTGCAAGTGTTGAGTTGGTACTGTGTGATCTCCAGTAACTGGGAAATACAGCAGTGAGATCAGCAGACCCACTGCTGGTCTTCCTAGTTCCAATCTGACCTTTAAACAAAAAAAACAAAAAAAATTAAAAAAAATTGAAGCATTGAACTGAAAGCCAGTACAAAGGGCAATCCTTATCCTATTGACAAGTCCTTTATATTGCCTTTGAACTGCTAACTCAATGTAGTAGCTCCCAGCTTGGGACAACAATTGTCTTAACAGCAATGAATTTTTATTTCCAGGTTTGGTTAATTCACTAGCCATTAAATAAAATGTTTTTTTTTTAAATATTGAAGGGAAGCACAGGACTTAAAACAGTTGAGGACAACACTGTTTCACAACAGAGCTCTTCCCAGAAAACATAATTTTGTCCTCTGAATTATAAGTCACTTTAAACTCTGACTGGCATTTTAAAATCTTGTGTTTACTATAAGGCAATTACATTATGATATATTAAGGAAATTAAATAGAATATACTTGTGTAAAATTATTACCAGCCCCAAGATATATCTCACAATATAAAACATTACTTTTCACAGAAGTAATGCTGTTAATTTCCTGTAGGTTACCTATCCCACAAGAGGCCAGAAGAACCCCAGCATCCTGGAAGGGTGGCCTGTACGCAAGGATTAGATTATAGCAATGTCACAGTCATGATTTAATGAGGCTGAGAATTGGTGATAATGTAGCAGCCTCTCCCCAGTTTGATTTTAAAGGGGGCTTTTCCATCATCTGATCAAAATACTCAAAAACATTATGGAATCTATTAATTGCTTTTTGTGGAAGATTCCTTACTATTTGCCATGGAATTTTAAGTGCAATATTGTCTGCTAGCCCACCTCACCAAGTAGTCAAAGTAATTCCTTGCCACTACTTGCACTCACTAGTTCAGAACATCCACCTCAGTTTCAGATATAGGAGAAGGATCTGGCCGGACACATTCATCAATATCAAGAAAGAAGTCCTCTATCCCACCAACGTCTATGGTTTCTTCTTCTAGGCTGGATAAGAAAGATGACAGCTTGCAGTCCATGTTGTGCTGCACAGGATTGCTCAGAACAGCTTCAGTAAGTGACTTTGTTTCTGTATCTGAGATTCCCATATCGTAAGTTAGAGGTCCTTGGTCCTCATCACCCATCCAAGTGACAGGCAAAGGCTCAGCAAATTTTGCAGTCCCATTTGTGGATTCCGACAGCTGACACTGAGCTGTTGCCCAATCCCCCAACTGGGGAGAGGCTGACCTGGACAAGGAAAGGCAGTCACCATTAGGCTCAGGTGTTACAAGCGGAAGACAGTTAACGACAGGATCCAGCAAAGAGCTCCCATTTGTTGAGTCACCAGCTTCACTAATTTTTATCTTGTCCAACTGTGGACCTACTGTACAACATCTCTCTTTTTCTTCAATTTCAACATTTCCCGGGACATTCTCATTTGCCTGGGGTGAAGAATGCAGGCTTTGTGTAATAGTGGTGCTCTGGATTCCTCCAGTGGCATCCTCCTCAGCCAGCAGCAAGTCTAGCATTTGTTCCAACTCTCCAGCGGAAGCAAGGTTATCATACTGCTCTTGCTCTTCCTTGATCAGATGATCCAGCAAAAATGCCTCCATATCACAATGATTCCCAGCAGCATCAGCTCCTTCATCCAAAGCCACTTTCTCCTCAGGTAGTTCTGGCTGTTGTTTTATCACACTCTTTTCAGGATCCGATGCAGCCTCAGCAGTTGCAGGGAGCAGTTTAGGAGACCAGGCCAACTGCTGCACATCATCTACTTCTGGTTTAGGATGTCTGGGTTGAGATTGGAAGCCCTCATCTTTCAAAGTATGCACACTGTTTTGCACCACCGTCGGCTGCACAGCAGGCAATTCGTGCACCACTTCCCAGCAGCTGCCATTGATAACTTTTCTGAGCTTTACCCGGCTTATGTGACCTATTTCTTGGGGAATGTTTGGGCAGGATGTTGGATCACTGGAGCTGCGCTTTCTGCCTTTAGATTTTGGAGGAAGAGGGGCACTTCTGAAGCCACAAAAATGGTTATTATCTTCTTTTTTCGCCTCATCCTTGACAGGACATTTTTGTCTCCAGAGACGTTTAACAGACCTTGGTGATTTGCTGGATGTCACAGTGCAATGGTCTTTGGTGGCACAAGACGTAGACAGAGGTGCCAAAGAAAGCTTTGGACGGCTGAGCTTTATCTTTTTTGAATTCTGCAAACTGGCTCTAGTGTGTGTATCTCCAGTCTCAGTCTCCTTTCTGTGCAGACCACCATTCTCATTGCTGCCCATTATATTGCTTATTGTGCCTGGAGGGCGTTTTTTAACTTTTGTTTTCAGGGGATCAGCAGTAATTGTTTGGCTTTTTGAAATCTGTTTGTCACTACTCAGCAATGCTGTAGTAAGCTTTTGCTTCTTTACATCCTTCTGATCAGTACTGTTGTGGCTACTTATTTCTTTGGAGCATGGTATAAAATTACTGGCGGGTGTTGCTTGCTTGCCTGCAGCTACCCAGGATGTCAAGCTACCTCCAGAGGGAGCAGAAGAATGAATTAAACTTGTCTCTGATCTGGTCATTGGACTGGTTATCTGCAAACAGTTCCTGTTTAATCGCCGGCCCAGGTTTTTTTTTACTAACTTTCCTCCCTCTAACTGTAAAGAATCAAGTTCTGACACCTGAAGTTGTCGTGCAGCTGCAAGAATATCCTGAGCTTCTTCCCGGGACACCTCCATTTCAGATGTATAGAGGAAATCTACCAATTTACGCAACGTCCCAATTTTCAGCCCCCGAATTTCCAGCACCACCTTGTGTCCCTTGGGGGGCATTTCTCGCTCCAACTGCTCTGTGAAGAAAGGGCTGCAGGCCGACAGGATGCAACAATGAGCTGGAACGGCTTCGCCTACAAAGAACACCATTATTAGCAGGTACTTTACCAGTGGACCATCAATTTTGACTGAAGATGTTCTCCATGGGTTAGCCTTCAAATTTTCCCACGGTCAATATATATAATGTCAGGAGAATGAGAATTGTACTGGGTCAGGGCAAAGACATATCTAGTCCTAAATTCTATTCATAGGGCAGCTAATCATAAGCACTTTAGGAAGACTATTTTACTTGCCCTGGCAAGAAATGGAAGGCGCATGCTAACTCAAATGCACCTTGAAGCAACATCTTCCCCATCAACTGTCTTTGCTCCCTTTTTCTGACAGAACAGAAGTGCAAAGAAGTGGAAGGGCAGGGTATCAGAGAGGAATCTGGACTTCAGGGTAGATGAAAGGGCCTGGTCCATTCGCCAGTTATTGCCATTCCCAGTGCATAGATCACTGATCATAGATGGTTTATATTTTAAGCATGCTAACTTAAATAATGTATCAATTACGCTTAAGTATTAAGTATTAAACTGCTTTTTTCACATGTTAATTTAAAATAGTTGTACTTTTAAAACAAAGTTGCAAGAACAGGGTTCCTTGAAAGGGATATTTTAGCTTATTCTTCCTTTTACATCAACTTACTGGGTAGTGTTAAAGTATACATTTTAATAAACAAAACCATACCTGCATCTTTCCTAACTAAATTTGCTTAGAGTTCTTAAGTTTGTAAGGCTTCTTTAAGGCAAATGCTCAGCAATTTGGTCTAGTTATTTGGGGACAATTGAGTAACAAAAACAATTGCAAACTGTACAAACTACCATTATGTGTTTTATTCACAACTAACAAGATATTAAACAAATCCACAGGCATGCCCAAGGCAAAATTAAGCACCTCAAATGGCTCCACAGATTTCAATGGAAGAATTCAACACAAATACAAATAACAAGTAGCAGGGGCAGCACTCCAAATAACTTCCCTGGATCTATCACACTTTTTTTTTGTGCAAAATTTCACTATGGTTAAATGTTTCAAGTGCCAAGGCTTAATACAGATAATCTTCAATTTACAACCACAATTGAGCCCAAAATTTCTGTTGCTAAGCAAGACAATTGTTAACTGAGTTTCACAACCTTTCTTGCCACAGTTGTTAAGTGAATCACTGCTGTTGTCAATAACAGTGTTATAAAGTGAATCTGGCTTTTCCATTGATTCTGCTTGCCTGGAGGTCGCAAAGTGATCATATGATCCCAGCGCACTGCAACCATCATAAATAGGAGCCAGTTGCCAAGTTTCTGAATTTTGCTCACATAACTATGGGGATGCTGCAACAGTCATAAGTGTTAAAAATGATCATGTCATTTTTTTTCAGTGTCATTATAACGTTGAACAGTCATTAAACGAATGGTTGTAAGTCAAGGACTACCTGTACTCTATTCCTAGTCAGAACTCAACTTCCATATTGCAAGCCTCTTTACTTAAAAGGGATGAAAGAGGGAACTTTCCACCTCTACAGATAGTTCTCAACTTACAATCACAATATTGGTCACTGAGCAAAGAAGTTATTAAGTGAGACATATTATTGCTTCCCTCAACCACAATCATGACACTCACAGTTGTGGTTGTTAAGCAGATGGAGTAAAAGTGTTGCCTGCTTGCAGGGCTAAATTCCCCTGGCAGCTTTCAGCCAGCCCTGAGATGAGAGGAGAATCCTGTTGGCAGGAAGCAGCAACTTGCAACCTTCCCTTCTGCTGATTTCCCCACTGACTCCCACAGTGGATGGAGAGGAGGGTTTATCTACAATCCTGAAGATCTGAGCTCTGTTCCTGCAGCCCAGTGAAGGAATAAAACCCCCTCCATCCAAGGCTCCTTATGTGGTGATGCAGTGGTTAGAATGCAGTATTGCAAGCTAATTCTGCTAACTGCCAGCAGTTTGATCCTGACCGGCTCAAGGTTGACTTAGCCTTCCATCCTTCTGCGGTCGGTAAAATGACCCAGATTGTTGGGGGCAGTATGCTGACTCTGTAAACCGCTTAGAGAGGGCTGTAAAGTAATATGAAGCGGTATAGTGCTATTCTGCCTGCTTAACGGCTGGAGAGATTACTTAATGACCATAACTGGAAGTGCCTGGATTGTGATCATCGAGCTAAACAGTTGGACAGGCATCTCGCCTAATGACTATTTTGCTCATTGACTGAAATTCTGGTCCAATTGTAGTCATAAGATGCATGATGCAGTGGCAATTTGGTGGAAGGACAAAGTATTCTAAGTTCTATTTTTCCTCAATCTAATAGCCTATGGATATGGTTGAGGAATTCTGGGAGTCACAGTCTAAGGTGCATCAAACTGGGTGAGGATGGATTCACAGGCGATTTCATATTACCGGTACTTCAAATTTCAAGGCAAGTCATGGCACTGAAAACAGGATATTCATCATATTCCACATTAAATTACTGCAGTAACAAAATGAATAACAGACATTTTGGATAATTATTAGAACTATGCGGGTATCAGTACGCTGACGACACCCAGCTGTACATCTCCATCCCGGATCACCCCAACAATGCCCTTGAAGTGATGTCCCGGTGCCTGGAGGCCGTACGGATCTGGATGGGGAGGAACAGGCTCAGGCTCAACCCATCCAAGACCGAGTGGCTGTGGTTTCCGACGTCCCGATATAGTCAGTTGACGCCATCACTGACTATTGGGGGCGAATCATTGGCCCCCACGGAGAGGGCTCGCAACTTGGGCGTCCTCCTGGATTCACGGCTGTCTTTAGAAGAGCACTTGACGGCCGTGACCGGGAGGATTTTTCATCAGGTTTGCCTGATTCGCCAGTTGCGTCCCTTTCTGGATCGGGACTCGTTACGCACGGTCACTCACGCCCTTGTCACCTCCCGCCTGGACTATTGCAACGCTCTCTACATGGGGCTCCCCTTGAGGAGCACCCGGAGGCTCCAACTGGCGCAGGGTGCGGCCGCGCGGGTGGTAATGGGAGCGACATGGCGTTCTCATGTAACACCCCTCCTGCGCGAGCTGCACTGGCTCCCGGTGGTCTTCCGGGTGCGCTTCAAGGTTTTGGTTACCACCTTTAAAGCGCTCCATGGCTTAGGACCTGGGTACTTGCGGGACCGCCTACTACCACCAATAGCCTCCCACCGGCCGGTACGCTCCCATAGAGAGGGGCTCCTCTGGGTGCCGTCAGCCAAACAATGCCGACTGACGACCCCCAGGGGGAGAGCCTTCTCTGTGGGGGCACCTACTATCTGGAACGAGCTCCCCCCAGAGATACGGAGGATCCCGAATCTGCGCACCTTCCGCCGCGCTTTAAAGACCTTACTATTTCACCAGGCCGGCCTGGCCTAATTTTCCCCCTCTTTTATAAAAGATTTTTAATTTTTAAATATCTTTTAGTATTTTATACATTCAATTTTAAATTGGTTTTAAAAGTTTGGGGTTTTAAATTTGTCGGGGCCAAAATTATTTAATTTGATTTTATTCTACTTTTAAATTTTGTATGTGTTTTATTGTTTGGCTGTGCACCACCCTAAGTCCTTCGGGAGTAGGGCGGTTAGAAATCAAATCAAATCAATAAATAAATATGCATATCCTGTAAAAGGAGCACTCTGCACTAAACCAAAGCTATTGCTTTTTATCCAACAAAGCATGATAAATATACACATATATGGAAAAACATGGGATAACTTATGAAAAAAAATTGTGTGAGCCTGAAAAATAAGAATTCTCTTTTTTTTTTTAAAAAAAAAACATATTGCATATAGGCATCTACCATTTGAAAAACTCTTTTAGAGGACTTGCAAAGCTCTAAGAAAAATTCAGCCAAAAAATCAGAACTTGATCCTCTCTATTTATTTTAGATACCTATCTCTCATATTTTAGAAAAATTAGTACCTTCTGCTTGTAGGACAACATCACAAAATAAGTCAGCCCTTTGTTGGCGATGGAGCTGTAAGAACACCATACGGAGTAGACGAGAATTCCTATATAGAATCTTGGGATTTTTCGCTGAAGAACTCATGGTAACAGAACTTTCCTTCATTGTATACCAGATTTCTGTGAAATAAATGTTGCCCATGTTAGCACTGCAACTGAAGTCTATGCTCAATTCTCATCAGAGTTCAATAGCATTTATTTCAACTAAATTCAGAATTTAGTGGTGGCATACTACCCAGCACAGGATAGATAGATAGATCTATTGATAGATCTATCAATAGATAGATAGATCTATCGATATCGATATAGATATATACTAATATATTATCTGAGAAATATTCTAATTTTACCTCAATGGATACTTTCTGAAATACATTTTTGAACTGCCTAAATAGCTTAGTAGAAAATAGTCTTATGGATTTTTCAATCTTGCTGTTGATCATATTAAACAAAAATCCTAAAACACAGGGGCAGAACAATTCAAACTACAGGTATTATTACATCTGGTATGTAATTGCTACATTAGCAATTTCGCTAAATGTCAAACTTACTTCAATGTTTTATGAAACAAGAAGGCACTCTTAATTCAGAACCCTGGCATTCCTGGAGTAATAAGTTGTTCCAAAATGTATACCTTCACATAACCAAAACCATATTTAAAATTTACATAGAGGGGTTTATTCCTCTCATCATGCAGTTATATTTCAAACTGTGTCTAGTGTGAAAAAAATGCCACTTGTGGAAGATACATATTCTACTGCCAGGGTTATGTGGTTTATCTGGGGCAGGAGGCAGGGGCCAATAACCTCTTAGTGACACAGAACGAAGGTTTTAATGACTGTAGCTAAAACAAAAACTAAATACAGTTGATCTAAATTTGCTAAATAAAATCATGGTTATTTCCTACATATTTGATAATTTTCCTTTTCTAGTCACATTAAAAATTAGATTTTGGAGGTGTTCATGACTATGATCTTTGCACTTTGGTCTGAGCACCCATGTTTAAAGCAACTTTTGCAACTTTCATAAACTCAAAACCCCACCCAACTTTATGTGGTATATAATAAGCCACATTACCAAATGAATGTGGCCGGGGGCTATTTGGAAAGAAAATTTCAAAGAGTTTAAGGGTTGAATAAAGTACCCAAGGAATTTGTAAAGTTTAAACATTTTACCCCAAACCCACTAACAATGCAAAAATGTAACTTCATATACTGAGGAACAAAATAGGAAAGAGATAGATTGCAAGTTCTGTATTAATTTATAGTTTACAGAAGACACAAATGAACAATATGCATATAATTCAAGAAATCAGAAAAATATCAAACACTCATCAAAATCTGTTTTTAAAATAATCCTGTAACAATCAAATTAGGGAAGATATTCACTAATTTATATAACAGACTAGTTGTGCAGAATATATTTTTAAACTGATACTTCAGTAATAAAAAAAGCATTCCTTTCTATCCAAAGTTATACTATTGTTCAATGAGATGCCTTTAGCAAATACGCTAAACCATGTATTTGTTTGGGCTTAACATCTGAATTCAGCCAACTATTTTTTCCAGTTAACCAAACCATGGCTTAACATGTTTCCATTCGTTGGACACATTCACATAACAGATCTTCAGAAGTCTGGCATAACTTGCAAATAAATGACCTACCTAGTAATCTGGCACCAAAAAAAGTCAGTAATTAAGCCTTGCTCTGATCATACTGAAACAGTCATTCTTGCTAGTGTTCCAGCCATCTTTCCAGCTTTGAACTATTTCCCTTTGCTCACCTTCTTGTTCCTCTCCTCCTGGATACTGGGAGTGAGAAGAGAAAGGGAAGCAGAGATGGCACAGATATACTCCCAAATTAGCAGCTGTTCTGTCTGCCTGCCTCTTTGTCCAGTAGCCAGGATTATCTTCAAAGTAGCTTTCTTTTCCAGGTACAGGTTGCATAGACAGTCCCAGGTAAGTTAAGTACCCAATAACAAACCTTAAATATAAAACACGGCTAAGGCATTTTATTTGATCTACATTTTGACTCAAGTTCAAGGTTTACATGGCATAACTTTCAATAACATGGCTCAGTAGTCATGTAGATTTATATCAGGGGTCTCCAGACTATGGTCTGTGGGCTATATCCAACCCTCTGAAAGGTTCCTTCCAGCCTGCCAGCTCTTCCCATGCACTGTGCTCTGAACCTTTCTAAACAGCATAGGGAGACACAGCAGGACTGTAAAGGTAGTCCTTGATTTATGACCACAATTTGAGATCAAAATTTATCTTGCTAAGTGAGAAATTTGTTAAATGAGTTTTGCCCTGTTTTACTTTTCTTGCCATTTGTTAAATGGATTGCAGCTGTTAAATTAGTAACTCGTTACTAATTTAAATTAATCTTAAATTAATCTGTCTTCCCCATTGACTTTACTTGTCAGAAGGTTGCAAAAGATGATCACACGATCCTGGGGACACTGCAGCCATCATAAACACGGACCAGTTGTCAAGCATCCGAATGTAGATCACATGACCATGAGGATGCTGCAACAGTCATGTGTGTGAAAAATAGTCTTTTTTAAGTGTAAAAAAATGTTACTTTTTTTAGTGCCTTTGTAACTTCGAACGGTCATAAATGAACTGTTGTAAGTCGAGGACTACCTGTATTCACCACTGTTTAGAAAGGAAGGTAGGATTCCTTCAATTTCTCCAATGGAGGCGGGGGGGTTTGCAAGTCAGCTGGAGGATGCTGGATGAGGAAAGGGAAACATATTTCCCTTTAAAATCTTTCTTATATAATTTGTCCGTACAAGCATGGCATTGTTTCTTTGTAGTTGTCACATTTTTTTGCTGTTGTTGTGAATCATATCACACTGAGCAAAATAAAGCATTCAATTAATTAATCACTCGCTCATTTATAAAACTGAGTTTTCCCCTGGGACCTAAAATGTTTACAAATGTGGGCCTCAGACTGAAAAATTTGGAGACCCCAGATTTATATCAATGGTTATTTGGTTTAGTCAATTGGATGCTGCTCATGAACTTCCACTTTCTTTATAACTTGCTTTTTCTAAAACAAAACAAAACATAACCACCATGTCCCTCCTTCCAAATCCCATTACCTGGCATTTAATTGGCACCTGAATCTAGGAGGTATATTATTTGGATTCCCTTGTTGGCAATAATCATATCTTATGGTTTATAAATTGCATGCTAAGTGAATTAAAATTTCCTTTTTCTTGTACTCAATCGTCTGCCAGTTTCATTGCATAAACCCTCAATTTATCCTTATTTAAAATGGCTTCTTTTTTAGTCCAAGTTGTCTTACCTGTTATTTTAAATGTATAGATACTGATATGCTATGACTTTTTAGTTTAAAGGCTCCTTATTTCATATGATATAACTGATTCTAATGCTGTTGTATCAATTATTTTATTCCATCACTCTCCTGCACTTAAGAGATTGTATAATAAAGTTAGTGAATGAAAACTCCTAATTTCTTCACTATCATAATTTTTGTCATTTCATCATTCTTCCCTCCAAAATCCTCTTAATACTATAAACTATTAAAGAAAAGGAAAAATATTCCAGCCTTCTTGCTAATTTTCACTGCTCCTTTCTGTAGCAATTACAAATGAGGACAATGTTATATTTCCCAACCTGACTTTCTGCATACATATTTGTTTCTGATATTCTTGTTGTAACACAGATCTAGCAACTTCTGAAACAGTTCTAGATCTGTTTGCAGGTGTAAATTCAGCAAACCCAACAGCTATAATTTTGCATTTTTCCTGTCATTGGAATGCCTCTCTTAACTGGAGCCCATTCACTAAGAGGAAGCAAAATCTTCTAGACAAATGCATTAATGGTCCAAATCTCTCTTTGCTCATATTTTCATTTTAAAATCAAGAGAACTACTAGTGGGCATTAAGCAGCACTTATCTAGATTAATGCTACAATCCTGTATATGCTTACCTAAGAAAAAGAGCCACTAAATTGATTCCCAGTCAAATATTTATATGAACGCACAACTTTTTACTTTCTGGATAGAAAAAAAATCCACCAGTAATTGTGTTACATTCTTGAACCAAGTTAAGGCAATAGCTAATTATGGATGTTGTTTTTCACCACTACCCATATACCCATAATAGCTTATTTTTTATCTAAGAAACTGTATCCATGTTGGTAATAACCAGCCTAATTACAATTGTCTTTTAAATAAATTTGATGAGAGTAATATATATATATATATATATAGATAGATAGATATAAAAGTGTTTCTCTCCAAAGCAGCAAACAACTCAACTTAGAGATGTATACCTTACAGCTAACCAAGTACAAAATTGTAGTACAAGGAAAGGCAGCAGCAAAAATGTAAAATAAGATGAATGGCTACATGATAATTTACAGCACCTTTCCCTTCAGGGTTGTTGGATTCCAACTCCATCATGTTATGCTGAGGATGATAGGAGTTGTAGTCAGACATACCCAGAAGGCACTTCTTGGGGAAAGACCTGTTCAAAGTTACCGGGAAAGATTCCATTTTCACGAATACTCTTTTGCCTCGATGCAACTCCTTCCCCACGTATAACTAAAAGAAGACAGTGGTCCCTTTCCCTACTCCCCTCTCTAGTCATTCATTCATTCGTGAAATCCCACGGAAGCTTTTCCCCACCTTCACTGTGGGACCTTCCCTTTCTCGTATTTCCCAATTCCCACGCGAGCGTGGGTTTGCCTTCCAGCCGCGGCCGACACACGGACGGCGGGGCGCCCGCGACACTCGAGAGCGCGGATACCCGCACCAGCCCCTCCCCAACACCCACTCGCGCCGCGCCGCCTGGGCAACGTTCCCCAGCAGCCGAGCAAAAGCGGGGGAAAACCGTACCCGCACGCGCCGGACACGCCCCCTCCCGCCGCCTCATCTCGGAAACAGCCCTCCCATTGGCTGGAGTTCCAGCCATTAACGAGAGAGGCTGGCTTTTGGCGGGAGGAATCACGGGTTTAAAAAAAAAAAAAAAGGCGAGGAGAGAGGGAGCCAAATCAAGGCTGTTTATTTATTTTTTTTAAAGCGCTCTCCTTATAGTAGTCAAAGCTCCGCTTAGCGACTGTACGTAGTGACGTGAGGAAGGACGAATCCATAGCAAAAGTGACTTTTTTTTTTTTTGCTTGTTAAAGGGGCGTTTCATCATGTGCGTTCCTTCCCGGTTTTTAACCACGATTTAGGAATGGGCTCCAGTTCTTTGCGGTTCCCGGCTATTTCTAACAAAGAAACTAAGCTGACAATATTAATTATTGTCTAATAACTTATTAAACTTGTATGCCGCCGAACTCACAACGACTCTGAGCAGTATCTGAGAATTGCAAGACGAGGTAGAAGAAAGATACCGTCTTTCTTAAATTGCTGCAGATCGGGATGAAAATGGGCAACCTCTCCAGGAGGAAAAAAAACGTATTTTTTGCAATGCAACCATGTATTTTAAAGTTAGCTGTTGCGGTTCAGCGTGTTCTGCCAGGATTCTGGCCATCTAGAAACAACATTGTCATCCATTTAGAATCAAGGTTATTCCCTTTGATATGTTGGTGATATGTTAGAATATGGATAAAGCTTTTATCTTAAACACAATTATTTAAAAACTTCATATAGACCCCAATATTAAGTAAAATATATTTAGGATACGCGCAGATAAAATTAACTATATAATAGAGAATTTCAGCATAGCAAACACCAGATGAGTTCATGCTACATAACTATGATTCCCTTAATCATGATTTATTGAATGTATACATGGGAGCATGCCAGATGCTTAATCACAGATAGCAAGCCAGTTTATGACTTAGTGGGAATGTGAACACAGCCACTTTTTTTAGTTTTATGGCTACTGAACTCAAATTTTCTTCTATTTCTCAATTTAGAAGCAAGTGATAAGATGACATTTCAATATCCGTTTCTCTCCATAAATCTCTGCTTGCTGGGCATAAAATCTGTGCACATTAATTATTTTGTTAATGACCTTAAATGTATTTAGAATGGAAGATATATGTATGTGTAATCTTTCTCTACATTATTTCAAAAAATGCAAGAAAGTTTTTATTTATTAAACTTATTTGCTGCCCATCTCACCTAAAGGGAGCTTATGATCAATATGCAAGATTTACTTTCCTTATTACAAAGGAGGTTATTGTGTGGAAAACAGGAGGAGGAAGGTGTTGGATATGTTTGCCCCTTGAATTGTTTGAAAAATAGTAAAGGCTGGATATGGAGGAAGGAAGAAAAGGAAGGAAGGAAGGAAGGAAGGAGAGAAAAAGGAAGAAACAAGAAAAGAGGAAGAAAGAAGAAGAAAAGAAAATTTGGTTTTCATTTAAATTAGTGATGATACTTATGCTTTCTGATATGACTTTAAACTATCTTTTTGTTTATTTTATGGCACCCTGCCCAGAGTCCATCAGGATTGGAGCCAGTTTTATTATTGTAAAATAATTTAAATGTGCCAGTGATATGCACAGTTCCTTTCTATCCTCCTGAATATCATGCAAGCGCATGTTTGATTAGTATCATATTCCTGCTTTTTTTCCCAAAAGATTTTGGAAAATATAGATTGTAATTTCAATACCTGTTAAAACTGAATGTTCTAGGTATTGACTTTTTGACATAGAACATAAACATCTGAACTGATTTGTAAAGAAGATAGTGGAAAGAAAATATACTATTATCCTGGTATGGGTAATAATATAGTCCTCTTTTTCAAAGTTTTCAGGAAGAGTAGATAGAAACATCAGGGAGAAGTTTCCCTTATCTTCCCTTCCCTTTTACTATCCCAGCAAAAGAATTGGCATTTCTGTTTTAACATAAAACAGACTGATTCCATAAAAATTTTGAGGGTAATGCCACTGAGTCAGCATGCCACATAATATTTCCTAGTTAATGGAATGCAGACCACAGCATTTTTGTACTGTATGTATATAAAAGATTTTTCATATCAGTGATCATACAAACAACCAATGGTTTAATTAATTACAGTAGATATGCATGCAATAAAGGCATCATACCAATCAATGCTCAATGGAGATTAGCGGGCAGATTTCCAAGGGCCATTCATCTATGAATTCTTCAACAGATGATTTTTCTAATGTCAGAAATACTAGAGTTGTTCAGCCTAAATTGATATATGAGCAAAATTCAATATGTGCTGGACATTCGAGAAAGTGATTGTTGTTAAAGAAGAAGGAGAAGAAGAAGTAACTCTCCTAAAGATAGGGCTAACAATACATATGTGTCCAAAATAACACATATAGCTTTACATTGAGGAGGAGATATTGGCCACAAAATACAAGCTATTCAACATCCATTGAATACATTTTGAAAAATGAGATAAATACTTATTATTTTGCATTAAAACAGAGTCAGATTGGCTACAAAAATATAAACAAAGCAACATTTCAGTAAATACATTCATTAACTAAGGCCAAATGTGTTAGGTTTGGTTTTAGCTTTGTGTGTTGTGAAAATCCAGCCACTGTGGTTTATAAACTCTGGTATGTGGCTTACCATATTGTATGAATTCAACCAATTGTGGTTCATTCAATTAAGTCTTTTTTTAAATATATATATATATCCATGGATTTTCATGAGTTAACCCAACTGGGATTAATTTTATATTTGTATTGCAGATGGCATTTACTTTTGAATGGGGATCTTGGAGAAGGCTCAGCTTTAAGCCAACACTCTTGGGATATAATAGATTTGCAAGCATTTAGTTTCTTTTGATTCTAGTTTTAAGTGAATTTTGCCTCTTTTCAGTTTCTTTGTAGTTGGTCTGTTCATTACATTAAAATTTGGGATATTCTTGGGATTGTATGCTAGATATTAAGACATTTCACACCAAAAGTTTAGAGTTAAAGCTTTTACCAATGACATTAGAAAACATCACCACTGGCACAACAAAGAGTTCATAATTTCCCACTCTGGCATGATAATCAGCAATCAAATCAAATTCAAACCTTTATTGTCAGAGTACAACATGTGTACAATGAGATTGGCTGAGCCTCCCTTCGTGCACCTCCCCAACACAATACAACTCACAATGAAAGACAAAAAGAAAATCCCTAGGCCAGTGAATCCTACTAACAAACACTCAGTCCTATTGCATCATGTGAACTTATAGCATGTCGCGCCGGCCCCAAAAGTCAATCGTGCTATGTTGTAGAGTTATCAGGGTTGCATCTTTCACCATGCATATGTGCATGCAGGCACAATCTGTGCATGCATCCAATAATGAACATGTAAAGTTTAGCAACTGCCTTGGACAGCACCTGTTCACAATTATAATGGTAATTAAAAAGTAACTTTGCAACCAATTCTTGTTTTTATTACCTTTGCAGATCTATAAAGCAAAGGAAAACGGAAGTAAGATCATAAGCATAGTCGCAATTTCACTCAGTGACCGCTTTGCTTAATCATTGAGTAGCTGGTCCTAATTATGGTTGCTAATTGAGGACTACCTGTACACAAAGATATATGTCAAGTTATATAACCCAAGGGTTTCAGTGACTGTATACAAATGGACAGAGTGTAGAAAAATAGAAAGAACTAAAACAGTCCTTGCTTATCAACCACAATTGGGACTGGCAATTCTGCCACTAAACAAAAAAAAAAAATCACATGACCATTTTATTGTTAGATGAATCACTGTGGTCATTGGGTGAGATATGTGACTGACTTGTGATTTCACTTCTGTGTCTTCATTAATTCTGCTTGCTGGAAGCTAGTTGTGAAACTTGTAAATGGTAATAACACAATTGCAGGACACTACAATGGTCGTAAATGTGCACAAGTTGCGAAATGCCTAAAGTGAAATCATGTCACCATGGGACACTGCAATGACTGTAAATGTGAGGATTGGTCGCAGAGCTGTTTTCTTTCATATGTCATAACTTCAAATGGTCACTAAACAAGGCAGCCGGTAAGTAAGGACTATTTATGGAAGTTTTAATGTAGGATTCTGAACATGATTTTGTGCATATTCCTGAAATATGATATAATTTATGAGCGAAATGCAAGGATTCAGGGACACAGCTTATTCAAAAGGAACAAGCCAGCAAAGAAGGGGGAAGATATTATATATGAAAAAAGTGCATAAATGTTGATGTCCAGGAATTTTATCATGAAAAACCCCACCTTGATGGATCACCAGAAGATTGTTAGAAAGAAAAATTTTAAAGCCTCTGTCCTAATGTACGCAGGGATATATTGCTTCTAAGAGAGCAACAGTTCTTTTACTTTCCATTCTTGTAATCCAATTCCTTCCTTCTTAAAAAAACATTCTTATAGATAATCTTGGGAGAGATATGCTTGGAAAGAATTGCTTTCATTTTTAGGCAGCTCCTAAAAAGCCTGATGCTGATTCTCATTTCAAATTATCAGGTCAACAATGGGAAATTTCTTTTCTATGCAACACTGCATTTTTTCACAAGTCCTTTCTTTAGAGCCCTTAAGGAGCAGGAGCAGTGCATGGAAAACATGGGACCAGAGCAGTGGTGAAATCCATTTTTTTTTACTCCTGGTTCTGTGGGCGTGGCTTGGTGGGCATGGCAGGGGAAGGATACTGCAAAATCTCCATTCCCATCCCACTCCAGGGGAAGGATACTGCAAAATCCCCATTCCCTCCCCACTCCTGGGGGAAGGATATTGCAAAATCTCCTTTCCCACCCCCCTCTGGGGCCAGCCAGAGGTGGTATTTGCCAGTTCTCCGAACTACTCAAAATTTCCACTACCAGTTCTCCAGAACCTGTCAGAACCTGCTGGATTTCACCCCTGGGCCAGAGCCAAA